CACACACACACACACACACACACACACACACACACACACACACACACCCTTCCCCACCCACATATGAGAATTTATAATTTCTAGCTCTCTCAGGGCATTTAGTTACAGCTTAACAACCAGAAGTGGCAAAGGCTTATTTGTAGAGATTGTTGATTTAGGAAGGCCATTTTCTAGGAAAGGCATAATTTCACAGGAGGTTTTTAGTGATTACAGAAAAAAAACAAAACACCACCAAACCCTAGCTGCTTCATCAACTGTGTTATCTCAGGATTGGAAGGCACCCCAAAATCTATATTTATTGTTGAACCCATACCTAAATAAGAATCCCCTCCTTACCTTCTCCAAGAATCACCACCACCTTTGTTTTGTCAGAGGCAGCCAGGTAGCTCAGTGGATAGAAGGCTTGGCCAGCAGTCAGGAAGACCTGAGAGTAAATCAGACCTCAGACACTTAACAGCTATGTGACTGGGCAAGTCACTTAACCTCTCTTTGATTCAGTTTCCTTATCTGTAAAATGGAGATCAAAACAGTACATGTATCTCCCAGAGTTTGTGTAAATCACTTAGTATAGTGCCTGGCACATGGTAGGCACTACATAAATGCTTATTCCCTTCCCTCCATCCAGTCTTTGCTTAAAGACTTCCACTCAGGGTGAACCTATGACTTTTCTAGACAGCCCATTCCACTGCCACTGATCAAAACCTGAACAAGATCCCAGTCATCTTCTGCCCATCTCACCTATCTTGTTTCTTAGTCCTCTTGGAAGGAAAAGTACACCCACAGACTCCCATTTCTGTTTTCCAGAGACCATGTGTGTTCCCCAAAACAAGGTAACAGTCCCACTGCTTATGCCTCTAGTGACCTTGATGGAGCGGCAAGTAGTCACCTTTGAAGGAACAGACATGTGGGAAAAAAATGATCAAAGCTGTGAAATCATGCTGAGCCATCTAGAAACAGCCCGATTCATAGCCCAGGCTGCAGACATGTACCGAGCAAACTCGGAGAGGATCCTAGAAGGTAAGCAGACATGTCTCTGAGCTATTGCCTCTTCACTTTATTATTACTGCTGATAATACAAAATAAAATCGTGGCAAAATGAGCGATCCTTGGTGATCCCTTTGGTGAAGACAAAAGTAGACAAGGTCAAAGCATGAAAATTCAGTTTCTTTTTATAATCATTTATTCTCCACTTGAAACTGTCATTATCTATGGATTCCTATGTATTCTAAACTGGATTAACCAGACTGTGTATTTACCTGCGTTTCTCATTTCTCCTCCTATTGTCTGACTTCATTAGTAGCTTCACCATAGAATAAAGGAAGAGGAAGTAAAATATTTGATAAGGGATTTGATCAAATGAGATGTATATACTGAGGCAATGTGATGCAGTGACCCTAGAGTCTCAGAATCCTTGGGTTCAAACCGAGGTTCTTCCACTTATTAGCTACATTATGTAATTATGGCTGAATCACAATGGGATAAAAGGAATACAAGTAATCAACTACACTGAAATAGTTACCAAATTATTTAAAAAATAAAGTTTATGGATCCCCAGCTAAGAACTTTAAAGTAGATGGTCACTGATATCACTTTCAACTCTTACCTCATTGATAAAATGGAAACACTCCTTAGGCACAATCATAAGGCTGTTGTGAGTAAAGGGCTTTATAAACTTTAGAATGCTTTGTAGGAGTGAACTCTCGTCATCGTGGATTTAATTATGCTATCTTCTCCCATTAGCATGTAAAAAATTCCTCTCTTTAGATTATTAACTAAGGAATGTGTGACTAATAGATTTCAGCAAGTATAGCAATAACTGATCTTTATAAAAACAATAGGATAATAGTTTTTAAAAAAAGTAATTCCCTCAGATACATGTGGCTCAGTCAGGCTTCCATTTTCCTCTTCCTCACTTTAGAAATTTTTTAATCCATCAAAGGTTCACAGTTTGACTAGTGAGGCTACAAATCCTATAGCCCAGAAGCCAATTCCTTTCACCTTAAAAGTGAAGGGATGTGGGATTGGGAAGGATCAGATGCCATTGTTCAAGAACTAGGCAAACACATACTATCCCATCCCTGAAAGTAGGAGAGTAGGGGTACCCAACTGAAGCATATGGAAGCTAATACATTAAAGTGTGTCAGTAATTGTGTGTGTGGCATAAGAGCATAGAACAGATATAGAGCTGCAAAAGACCTTAATTAGAAGCTATCTAATGCAAACCCCTGAGGTCCAGAAAAGGAAGTGACTTTCTCAGTTACACAAGTAATAAACAGTGGATCTGAACTCATCTTCTGACTCCAAAGGCAGTGCTCTTTCCACTGCACCAAATTGTTTTTAAATATAAAGTATCTTTTAGGATGCCTGGATACCTTTCTCCAACTTAATGCAAAATGTTCAGGGAAACACAGGTCTCCTGTGCTTATCAGTAGGGAGCGCCCCACTACTGGCAGCATTTAAGGGGTGTCTGGATAACCATATGTCAGTCACAGAATGGACAAAAAGGAAGAAATTGTTACTAGGCTCCTTCCAACTCTGAGACTGTGATCTAACTGGAGAGAGAAAACTTACTTATGGTATGACCAACAATTACAACATTAAATACTGTCTCTATCGAGCCCCTGCTTAGACTGGGTTCCCTCCTCGAGTTCTCAGTGTGGCAACCTAGGTAGGTCTCCATGACCTTAAATGGACTTTTCTTAGAGCATTTTTTTTCCTCCCCTCCCTGCTAGGCAGAACATCTCTCCCTACCATTCTCTTTCATCTTTGTTTTATCTCATCTTGTGTCTGTATTCCTCACCTTTTCTAACATGCTGACCTGACGTGGGACCATGTTCCATCTAGCTAGCCCGTTTCTCCTGAACTCTTTGGAACCCTTCTCTTCTCATATCCTGTTTAACCAAATCAATTCCACAGAGGGAAAGTTTTCAATGTTTTAACTCAAGCTACCCTGACCCTTCTTAAGCTCTAGGGAAGTATCTCACGGATCTGCGCTTCATTTCATACTAATTTTAATCAGTGCCTTGAATGAAATCATAGATGTCAAGCTTATTAAATTGGCAGGGAACAGAGCCAAGAGAGAGCTAACACATTAGGTTTGATAGTCAGAATCCAGAAACATCTAGACAGAAAAGACCACTGGACTGAATCTAATAGGATGAAAGGAATACATGTAAACAACTATATTGAAAGTTATCAAATTATTTTAAAAAACAATTTTATGGGTCTAGATGGACACTGATATGTATCCCTTCCAACTCTGAAATCCTGTGGTTCAATTCATTTTGACAATCTTGATTTTTTTTCCCCTTTTCATTAAGTGACAAAAATTTCTAAATCATAGAAAATTCCCCTAATAAATAGATCTGTGGAACAAATGAAGAGGGGAGCTACAACTTGGGCCCATTAACCAACTATGGTATCATTTCCAAAATTCCCATCCTGAGCTTTCTTCGGAACATGTTAAATAGTCCTCAATTCTTACTACATGTTCAATCTGCTAAATTTTGCCAACTATCTTTAGCTAGATCAGTAACAGTGACCACTGTTTTCCATTCTTGACAATTCAAAAGATTTTTAAAGTGGAGTTAATTTTTTTGTCATTTCACATAAACAAGTTTTCAGTCTTGCTCTACAATGTGAGTTCAGGTATCACACATCACTCTTTTCTTTTTCTCTTAATAGGTTTTCAGGCAGATGAAGAAATGAATGAAATCTTCAAGACTGAATTTCAGATGAGATTGCTATGGGGAAGCAAAGGAGCACAAGTCAATCAAACTGAGAGATATGAGAAATTCAACCAGATTTTAACTGCACTCTCACGAAAATTGGAACCTCCTCCTGTGAAGCATGCAGAGCTCTGAAAACTCTTCAAGGAACTCTAACATATTATTTCAACTTTATCCAATTTCCTCTTTGGGAAAGTTTATTATTTGATAAAATGATTAAGTACAAATGTGACAATATAAAAACTTTTGGTATCCACAGGATATTTGAAAATGTAAATTGCACAGTGCACATTTATTTATGAATTGTTTAAAATTACTACTGATTTTTAAAGGAATCATAATTTATTAATGTAATTGTTGCTAATGATTTGTCAGTCAACTTTAAGAAACTACCTGGTGGGATAGGGTTAGCTGATCTCATTTGATCAGATTTAACTCTTAAAATAACTGCATTTGACCACTTCAAGTAATTTCAATTCCCACAGGATAATGTAGCAGAAATGTAAATAGAGGAGTAGGTTAAGAACAGCATGAAACATTTCAGAAGGTATCAGTTGTATGATATTCTTTAAATGAATATGAAAACTGTGTAAATAGTCATGAATAAAAATATATCTTTATGTGAATGTTCAGTCTCTTAATATCAAAATTAAATTACTCATGGTAGTAATAAAATACATTTTATTTAGTTGGTCAAGGAACAGTTTTCTTAAATGCTTTAACTTAAATTGGATTCTGGCTTATTGCTGTAGAAGGTTATCTTTGCTTCACATTCAATGACCCTGACCTGATTTAAATGCATTTTGCTTAGCATATGTATTTGCATACATATATCTGTATGTGTATATATGTACAGTAAAATCATTTTTAGAGGACCTCTGGTTCTTAAGAGCTTTTCTCCCATTGTATATGTGGCCCTGTACCTCCTCTCCCCAACTACACCCTAATTAAATACTACAAAAGCATAAGCAGGCAGGTGGGCTGAATGGAAGGTCCTAGGAAGTCAAATTGAGGGGAGTTAAGGTATGGTCATTTTATTTCTTGGCTCATTGAAAGGTGGGTGGTCAACTCCTCCATTCTCTATTAATGTGGCAGAGACCAGTTCCACTGGAGTGCTACCATCCCATTCTAGGAAGGGAAAGAAGGAAACAAGCATGTATTAAGTGCTTACCATGTGCCAGATACTGTGCTAAGTACTGGGAATGCAAATACGAGCAAAAAGGGTAATCCCTGCCCTCAGAGGACCTCATATTCTAATGGTGAAAACAATTCACAGAAAAGACCTGAAAAACAGTTGAGGGGTCAGGGAGAAGGCATGACTTTGAAGTCCAAAAAGTCAGGAATAGGGCTAAGAAGTGAATGAAAGGTGCTGACCTGGGCCCCTTCCCAAAACAGATGGTGTGCAATGGCTCAACCAATCCCTCCTGAGTTAAATGATCATGATACTACAGTGTAAGATAATACAGCTTAGCATCACATTGTATATTATACATAACCTGGTTGAGTAGGGTAGGGTACTGTGCATAGTACCTTACATGGTATAGATAGATAGTAAAGAACCACGTAACACAGCACAGTATAGCATAGCACATTATAACATGGCATTTATTAAGCCAGAATGATAAATAACATAGAACATTGATATGTCACATTTATTACAGCACTAATATAAGTGATAGGTGGAGTGGAGCTGGATGGAGTGATGTCACTTACCACAGTGGCTATTATGACAGTGGATGCTATATTACAATCTACTCTGGGTGCTATACTACAGTATACTACACTATATGTGGTCCCCTAACATGTTCTATTATACTGTAATATAATATAAACTAGGCAATAGTCTATACTAGAGTGTTTAATATGAGCATACCAATATGTGTGTATATTCTATATACATACATATACAGAAATACTAGAGTACACTACACTATACATGTATATAGCACAGAATACACTACAGTCTACGCCATAATGTAATATAAACTAGTCTAGAACGTATAACATATAGTATGCACACACACAGAAACCATGGGGAAACATTTAAATATGAAAAACAAACAGGTATATGAGAGAGGCACAGCACCCAAGGAAAAAAAGGAAGAATAGGTTTTTTTCAGGTCAGAAAGGGGAAAGATGTTCTCCAGTCACCAGATAGGGTTGGCGCCTTGGTGAGTTTGCAGTGACACAGCTTTATGTTGATCTGCCTGTGAAGTCTGGGCACGTCCTGCTTTGTGAAGATGAATGGCTTAGACAGGGCCAGGTACTCTTAGTGCTGCATTACAGAGGCAACTCAAGTCAGTGTCCTCATGTTGTCGGCCCACTGTCATCTTGAAGTAACCTCTCCATCCCTAGAAGAAATTGAGTCCATTTTTCTTCACTGGCTCTGCCTATAGGTACTTAGCAATATACTTGGGACGTTGGTGGTTTAGAGTGTGCTGAGGGTACACTGTGAGTCAAAATCAGTGATGGACTACTGCCGTATATCCACAGAGATGAATGACTGAGCAGTGTACCATATCACAGTACAATACAGTAGAGAACAGTACAGCAGAGTATAGTATAGTACTATACAGTATAGGATAGTGATACAGTTTAACTTCACATCATTTGGTAAAGATGTGATTATACTATGCTATGCTAGGATATACGTAATCACATACACAAATATGGCAAATCCTAAGAAGTGATTTTCTCCAGTCGCTCAGATTAGGAAAGTGAAACAAATTCAGAATAAAAAACAAAGTCCTATATACTTGCATCTCATTATTGTAGCTCAGAGATGCTTTCTGATTGTAGAAGTAAGATATATTTATAAAACCTTTGAAGTTCTGGTATGGTCAGAGGAATGTGCTATGAAAGGAGAAATAGGGAGATGGTAGTAAATGTAAAGTCAAGATTGTTCCCTCAGGACTAAACCTAAAATCACAGGCTGACCCATTGTAGGTATATCAGGAGAAAACTCCTTTAGCTCTGTTTGATTTTAGGTAAAAGTCATAAATAACCTTTTTGGAACTGCCAATCATGCAACTGAGTCCCATGCAACACAATTCACAGGGTATCATAGCAAGGCTCAGAATCAACCAGAAGGTAGACTTTCCTGTTGCCAAAGGAAATAGCACATTAAGGCAAATGAAGCAATTTTGTGAGTTTTTAAATTTTGAAAAAAATTTGCCTTGAAATGTTATGTCTTTCTTGTTCTATCTTTTGTACATCTTTTATAAATCAACTTAGGGAGTTTGTAAATCTGAAGTGATTTCTTTCTATCTTCTCCTTATCACCTTCCCTCATTCTTTCTCATTTGTTATTATTTACCAGTGAATAGTCCATTTCATTTTTTGACAGTCCCAACACACATGAACCATATCCTCAGGAGAAGCTCTAGACAAGGGATCAGACCTATTACCAAAGCACAGCTCACACATATTGGACGGTATTGAATTCTAGGATAACTTCCTTCCATGATTCCTTGAGAGTATGAGCAGCAGAACAGAAGACACCTACGAATAGCTGAGATACTGCAATCAGACTTGGATACTGGACTTCTGTGCTGGGAAGATGACCACAAAGCTTAGGGTTGTTTTGGTGGTGCATAAGAGAGCAATCTAAGAACCAATGCTATATAGAAAAGTATCTTAAAGTTCCATTTTCAGAAAGAAAGTTCTTTCTTTGGGGCAAACTGGAGAAAAACAGCTAACAAGGGGCAGACAACCCCTACACACACACACACACACACACACACACACGTATATACACTCCTCTCCTTATTTGGGATTCTTCCCTGTGACTTCAAATCAATAGTATGGAAAAAAAAAAATTCCAAATCTTCGACTTAGAAGACTTGGTCAAAGGATTACAAGATGATTACAGAACTAGAACCGGACCTGATCACAGAGTAGCCTTTGTCCAACTCCTTCGCTGTACGGATGAGGAAACGATAGCCCAAGGTTAAGTAAGCTTCAGTGGTGAGTTCTGAACCCAGGTCTTCTGACTGCAGTTAGTGGTCATTCTGCTGTACTCTACTGGCTCCTATATCTGAACATCACGTCAGTTCTAAAGACCTGCCTAAACCATTCATTCATATGGGGGACTTAGGGTTCATAAAGGAAAAAGAGACATCACACTCTACATCTGACTGACCATGAAAAGATTGTTTATTCCATGAAAATATTCTCAACAGAGAACACTATTTCAAACAAAGCATTTACCATTAAGAAATCAACATGTGCACAAAAGGAGTAAAAATTACTGAAAAAATCGAAGATTTGAGACAATTCACATGTTCCAATTTTCAGAATGATTAACTAGCTGTGCAAGTACAAATGTCTTTCCTATATGTAATACCCCATGTACAGGTTGCACTATCCCACACAAAGGGACTTGTCCCCAAAGGAAGCAAATCCTGCTTTTAGAAAAACAAACAGTAGCTTGAAAAGAACAGTTAGTCCTTACAAGGAAGCCTTAAACTTTGACCTGTTGGCTGCTAGCCAGGCAAACACAAGAACTCCAGGCCTCATACAAAAGACAAACAGCCAGATCACATTTCCTTCCCACTGCTAACCTTTAAAATGAAAAAGCACTAGATTTTAAAAACTACATTGTGTAGTTTGTCACTATTGAGTAATGTCACAATAATATAAATAACCCTGTATACAATATCCAAAATCTAAACTTGATAGCTTCATAGCCCCAAAGGTAATACATGGTCAGTTGTGTAATAGTGGCATATTCATTTTAATAAAGGAATCAACTTCCACACAAAAGTCACTCAGCTTTAGTTTTACTGGTAGTACAAGTCAAATAACACTGGAAATAAAAGTCTTTTAAAAGGAGTCACAAGGCTTCTAAAATATTGTTTAAAATGCAATGAAACACAGATCATTTCACATTCTCTTTCTCCCTCAAACACCAAAGAACTGAGTTAATGAAGCATGAGTGGTACAAGTATTTCCCTTCCCTTACCTCACTATTACTCTAGCAAATCAGGTATGATGTAAGTCATTAACAGAATCACAAATGGGAGGCAAGACAACATAAGCAATAGGGGCACTGCAGACAACTCTATTTACACATATAAACATATTGAAATAGCCATTTTACAAGTAAAAGTGCACATAAATCATTACAAAAGTCCACTCAAATTTAAACTGGTTCAAAATAAAAGCATCACTTGAGAACAGACTATCATTATAGTAATTAAGTGGTAGCTTCATTACCCCAAATTAAAAGACAAAGGGGGAGATTTCCATATGAATTCTATTAAAAACATTTAGTAAAGTAAAATGGACAGATACATGTCCTTAGTTCTGATGCACAAATGTGAAGAGATGCACCATCATAGGTAGAAGCGCTCTAGAAGACACCTACCACGGCTCCTTCTGCGGCTGCAGCAGCACCGGCGAGAGTTAAAGGAGGTCATACCAAGCCAATACATAAAGCCCTTTGTGGGATACTGTAGTGGTAGTGTTGGCAATCAACAGATTTAGGCACTCTAGTTTAAGGCAGTATTTGAATAGCAAGCAGCTGACTTTTGAAAACAGTCATTTGTCTTGCGATGGTGAGTATCTTCTGTGTTACTTTGCCAGGATTTCAGTGCTCACTAAAGGTTCTTCTCAAAATGAGGTGTTGGAGACGTATCACATTTCAAAGAGTTCTTTTGACTGTGTTGTAGGCTAGAGCAGAGATGTTTTGTTTTTTTTTTCTAATCACCAAAAATACTTAGGGTCCATAGACCACTTCTTCATAATGCCAAAACTGGAATATGACGATGAATGGGAACGTTATAGCAGCATACATGAACACTGGGATGAAAACATTAGTGCTGGAGAGGTTTCACAAAAGAGTGGTTTCCATTACAAATGTAGAACAAAACACAAGCATTGAAACAAGAGGTTATAAAGACATGCCTGACACAAATCTAGTCTAGTCATTCTAGACATGCAATGGGATGTTAGGCGAGCCTGGAGGCGGAACAGGCAGACACTGACAAACAGCATGGATCTAACAAACAGCCAATTAAAACAAGGCCTGGATGAAGACAGTCCTACTGGGACAACTGTAACAAGTGAAACAAATGGGAAATCATCACTGCAGTTTTTCTGACTTTAACAAAGAGAGTGAAACAAATGGAAAAAGGTGGATAAGGTTGTTTTGGCCTTTTTCTAATAGTGAATTCTGAAGCAGAACTGTGAGGATTTGTAATATCATGATTTTTAAAAAAACAACGCATGGAAATGAGGTTAGTGAAAAATAATAATGTATGCCTGCATGCACTCATGCAATCTGTCTTTTTTCTCTCTTTCTCTTTAAGCCTACCAACTCTACTACCCTCCCCCCCAGAGCAGCTGCATGTAACCTCCTTCCACATCTCGCCCATTTTCTCAGAAACCCTCTTCAGGAACCTGCAGTCCAGGAGGAAAAAGAAAAGAACATAATTACTGAAGACCTTTGGAAAGACAGAAGGAGGTGTTCAGTTAAGCGCCTCTCCCAAACGTCCCCTAGCAAGTCCCACAGATGGAGGTCTTTTGTGAGTTTTGCTCCATGTGGACTATGGCACGATGCCTTTCCCAGCTGCCTTACTCCATTCATTTTGCAAAGGCCTAACTCCATCCAAAGAGTTTTCCTTACTGATGAAAAGCAGCAGAAGGAACTGGTGCTTCTGATAAATATTTGTTTGACCTGAACTGAGAAAACATGCTTTCTTACTCATAAGGGATGCCTTATTCAGGGACCATAACTATATAATTACTGCGATTAAGTCAGAATCCAATCAGCAGAGCATTGTTTTTGTTTTTTTTTCTTTTTGTCATTTTTTGTTTTTAAAACAAAGTACTAACTACATTTGATTTAGAAAAATTCCAATTCCAACTTATTTGAAACCTGTTTCTTACTATTTATGGGCTCTTAGATGTTAACCCATAAAAAGAAATACTCTCCAAAAAGTATTTTCAAGATGAGCAATGCAAGGATAAGATGAACTTAGAATATATACAATATTGAAAATTACTAGAAATCCAGAATTCCTGGTCAGCAAACACACAATGTACAAATACACAGAGTGACTAGGTCAGATTACTTTGCAAAATTTTTAAAATACTACCCATGTAGGCAGTATGTTTTTTTTTTCTTTAAAACAACATATTTTCATCTTTGGAAGATTAATGCTACAAAATGTTTAGAAAACAAAGGGGAAAACGAGCATTTTTCTTTGGCCAAGTTCATCAGTTTTTAGTGAACTTTCTTTCTGGGGACTGTCACTTTAACTTATATTGCTAAAAAGGGATTATTACTAGTTTTATGAATTTGCTTTTCAGAATTTCCAGGTAGTGTTATTTTCTCCTGTTTTCTGAAGCAAGGAGAATAAAAAGCTTTAAGTCTACAGCAACTTTCTCAGTGGATAAGATGGTCTGGTTTGTCAAGCAGAAAACCACAAATCTTTCAAGTGGATTGATGCAGGACATAAGGCCAACAGCAGTGATTAAACCCCAATGCATTTTGCTCAAATTAGAAAAGAAACATAAAAAGAACATTTTCCTTCCATGATATTCACAACTCTTAATTAAGCATTAAGCCTGAGCTAAGCTCACATGGTGAACAATAAACCTTAGATGCCCTTTATGGATTGTTTCCTAACATTTTTCATCCCATTGAATGTGTATGTAGAGTTCTCTTTCCTGGGGAACGTACAGTATGAAGCTGCTTGGTTAGAGTTTAGATATAAGTTACTGCACCTTTACTGTTTTTCTCTAGAGTCACATCTATGTAAGATGTTGGCACATAGCCTTCTTCTCCATTCTGCCTCCGGGCTCTTGTCCATCCATCTCCTTTGTCCTCTTCAATAATGTAGAGGACTTCACCTTCTTTCATTGCCAGAGTGCCTTCATTGTGCCCTAAGACAAGAGTTGTTGGAGCTTAGGCATGATTTATGCTAAATGATTCTTCTGATTAATATCTGCAAAGTATGAGTAACCCTCAATACAAAAAAAATTTAAGTGTTTGTGAAACTAATAAAGCTTTCTGTTTTAAATAAATCCTATTTTTTCACTTTTGAGTCAAATTGTTGCGGGGTTGTGTTAGGATAGTGAATGGTATCTAAAAAAAGTACTTAGAAAGAAAGGAAGAAGAGTGAAAATTGCAGAAGGGACAGCAAGAGAAACAAAGGTATAAATGCTGATGTTGGCAGCAGGACTATCTGTGACAAGGCATCTGGTTTGCAATCACCCCAATGACATGGCTAGTTCCTCCATCCCCTCACCATTCCTACCTGCTAGCTGGGGACTGGGAAGCAGATAACGTTCTTGCTGCTGCTGCGGCTACCACTACTAGTACTACTACTGCTGCTCCTGCTGCTGTTACCTCTATAGTCAATATAGGTCGTCACTGGGAACAAAGAGGACCTAAACATTTTCTAAATTTTAAAGTAGTAAAGACTAAAATCCCCTTTCAACTTTACATTAGAGCAAGATTTTAACTTGGTGGGCTCCCTTTCTGGCCCTCTAGCTGAAAACGAAGAGGACAAATCGGTCTGAAGCCATTGGCACCAAGCCTTCCTTCCTGATCCTTGGTAGCATTTTCTCCTAAACAAGTAGGGGCAAGGGTGTGGCAGAGCCTTCCAGTTATGCCATCTCCCCCAATCTTGGAGCAGAAATGCAAAGGAAAGTGGAAAACAAGGAGTGGGGTCAGCAGCCAGCCTGTCAAGAATTAGTTTGGCTTCACAAATGACCTAGAGATGATTACTAATTCCTACTTTACATTGTCCTGAAAACCAATAAACTTCACCTCTGTCATATTCTATCCTATATGAAAGAGAAAGAAAATGCTCACTATCTATAAAAAAAATAATTAAAGTCATGGCAGTGAAATTATGATACTCTGGTAACTTAACGATTCATCTAACTGTACAAGTTGATTAAACCCCAAACGTCCAATTTTATCAAAAATATAATATATCAAATTAATCATACCATCAAAAGGATAAATAGCTTTACAATGTCCAATAGCAGGTAAGGGATCATCATCTTCAAATTCATCATCGAACTCATTAGGGTGACTATGCTGCTGTGGTGGTCCTCGGACTTCCTGGTTTGCATCATCTGTATAACTTCCTTCAGGGCTATAAGTCAAATGAAAATAAATCTCATCAAGTCTCTCATACATATAGTTTTCTAGAAAACCAACTTCAGGGATCTCCCCAAGATCACATTATTGTGTTAAATACTAATCTCAAACTTCCCAAGGAAAATTTATTTTCTCAAAAAATATAGTATACAAATTACTCAGTACAGAAGGCTTCCACTGAACCTCCCAAACACAAAAAAATAAATAGGTTATAACCTTGGGTCTGTGAACTTTTTAAAGAAAATATTTTAATAAACATATTTTAATACAATTTGGTTCCATTTTTATCCTATGTATTTTATGCATTTAAAAAATATCATTCTGAGAAGGGATCCAAAGCCTTCATTAGAAGGGGTCAATGACACATCAAAAGGTTAAGAACTTCTGGTCTAGAAGAAAAATGCAAAAACAGTCAACTCATCATTATTTGTGTTATTGGAGGAATACTACAGTGTAAATAATTCAAATTAGCTGGCATTAGGATTTGTTTTTGACTTTTAAATGAATGATGTCTAAAAAAGGTTTAAATTTCCAATCGTATTTTGTCAAAGATTCATGACAATCAAGCCTTCAATTAGGCCAGAGTCCACAGGATTAGATACATTCCAATCAATGTTTTGGTAGGTCTAGGAGAAAAACTTTTATGCGGCCTGGGGATTTTTACAATTTTGAATTTTTCCTGGTGTGACACACTAGAGCAAAAGGAAATACATGGGGCAGCTAGGTGGCACAGTAGATAGAGCACCAGCTCTGAGTTCAAATCTGGCCTCAGACACATGATACTAGCTGTGTGACCCTAGCCAAGTCACTTAACCCCGACTGCCTCACAAAAAAACAAAAAACAAAAACCAGGAAATCTACTTGGCAGGTTCTCTCTTGCCCCTCCTTCACATTAAAAATCATAGTTAGATTCCTTTGAGAGAAAAATACTCTCAAAAAGCTTGAAAATTTGTTCAGTCCCATGACATGTTAGAATTTGTAGAACCACAGTAATATTCTTACTAGACACTCTAATTCCCACCCAACTTCACTCTTTCAGAGAATCACACCAAGACCACTCTTCTATTATTTGCCCCTTGATTTTAACACCTGGAACATAAGAACGTCATGCCTGGGGATTCCAGGACCCCAAATCTGACAAGAATTGCTCTTTCTCCACATTCAGGATCTTGACAGTCTAAGAGACCAGAACTGTGACATCACATTTCACTAACTAGTATGTCACATGATAAATTCCACTAAGGCTACTTAAAACAAATCCAGTTTTCTGTCTTATCAATTCTAAAGGTCAAAATTCTCCTAAATTTATTTTACTTAGGACAAAGGAGAACTGTCTTCTTAACAAAGTTGCAGAAGACAAGAACAATCTGAATGCCATTTATTTGAAAAGCTAAAATAATCAACTCAGGAAACAAATCCCAGATGAATTGTTACTAGGAATTTTGGGGAAAAGGCAGAGGGAGAAAAGGTTTAAGTACTAAAAAAATCTAAGTTTAAATAAAACAATGACCTTTCTCTTCCTTGTGTTACCAGATGATTTATGTCACTGCTGTGTCTTCTGTCTCCTCTCCCACCTGTTTTACCTTCAACTTCAGAAAGCCAGGCCTTCAGAGGAAAATAAATAAAACCAAGGAAGTGAACAAGCATCACGGAAAAAAATAAACCTAGATGTATAAACAGGTTGTTAAACTACAAAAGCTTAAATGTACCTAAGTTACTTCTTAGTTATTCAATTCTAAGAGAAAAGAACATTATTTCTGGTCCTATGTTTCATCAGTGTAGGGAACTTCTGGATCTGGAAACTCACCACTGCAGACTGGTAACTAGTCTCTAATAAATTACAGTTTTAAAGAAGTGTGTGGAACATTGAAAAGTAAAGGGACTTAACCACAGACAAAGAGACAGTTTGGATAAAAGACAAGACTTTGAACCCAAGTTTTCTGGGCTCCAAGGACAACTCTTTATCCTGTAAGTCACAGCACCTCTCACATCAAACATCATGAGTAATAATATCAATTCATATTTATGTAAGGCTTTACAGTTTAATAAAAGTCTCTGACAAGATATCTCACTGAATCATCAAAACAATGTTGTGGTAAGAGGCAATGGGATTATAAATGCCTATCTCACAGGGTCATTTTAGGATCAAATCATGTACTATACATGATCTGATGTAAACCTTAAAGGACTACATCAACATCCTCTCTGTTTCACAGATGGGAAGACTAAGGGGTCCAGAGAAGTTCAGTGATTTATTCAAGTTCATACAACTAGTCATTGGCACAGCAAGGACTATTCTAAGTCTGATGTCCTTTCTACTCAAGAGAAAATTAAAAAAAATTTTAAAACCACACAACATACCCATGCATTTATATATTTAAAATATTAATCAATCTCAAGTAGAGGCAGGTTGGTGGTGCAGTGGATGGAGAGCTGGGCCTCAAGAAAGACCAGAGTTCAAATCCAGCCTCAGACTTATTAGTTGTGTGACTTCAGGCAAGTCACTGAGACTGTCTCAGTTTCCTCATCTGTATAAATGGGAATAATAATAGCACCCAACTTCCAGGACTATGAGAATCAAATGCCATAATATTTAAAAACCACTTAGCACTATGCCTGACATACACACAGGAGGTGCTATAAAAATGTTAACTCCTGCCATTATTATTAAAACAATTTTTCATTAAAAGGTTCCTTTCAATGATTACCTATTATAACAAAACTTTATTAATCATACACGTTTTCAAATGATTTAAACAATTTGGAAAATATATGGTGAAAACATTGTCACATAGTAGTTTATACTTTATAAAAACAGCATAAGAGATTCACCTCATTCTTATGTATTTCCATACGCAGTCGGTCAATGTTATTCATTGTCTCAGCTAGTTTGGGCTGCAAACTGCATGGATCCCCCATTTGTGGATTTTTCTCATACACATCTTTCATTTTGTTGAGTGCATCTCTGCAACACAGAAGAAAATTAATTTAGTTACAGATATAATAAACTAAGAACTTTCACATTTTCAAAGGTTTCCAATTTATAAAAATAAATCAACTAGGTATACATTCTACTTGATAACCTTTGGATTTACATATGACCTGATCACAAACATAATCGTAACTCTTAATTTAAAGTCAAATATTTAATGTTCTCATTAAAGTTTAGCCTATATAAAATGAATTATAAAGATAGATTGTCATTTTGTTAAACTTTTTTTTGAGAGTATCAAACAGGGTGGAATTCTCTCTCTCTCTTTTTTTAATGCAAATATATATAAACTGATTTAAGTGAATCAAGGATGAAAAATAAATAACATTCCATTCCTTAAGTCTCTTTTAGGCTAACTGGTCCATATGTGTCTTCAGAAAGAACCTGTAAATTATTTTAAACTGTATAATAATCTTCATAAATTTATTAATAATTAGTGAGCTAGTGATATTGTTGCTTGTTAATTTCTAGTTTTTATTTGGGAATAGAAATAAGGGTCCTGGTGCATAACCAAATTAGGAACATAGTTCTAATTCCTTTTTCAAGTGGTATTCATAAATGATATATAATTTTACTGTTGAATTTATTAATAACCTATACCCTGAATTTTTGTGACTTTCCTGGTGAATTTTCAGACTAGCCTAATTTTATCAAATATTGTATAGTTTTCCAGAGAACATTCATTTCTTGCTTCAAAAGAAAATCCTATAATAAACAAATTTCAAAGATGGCTTTTATTTAGTAACCTTGCAGTACCTAACTTTTATCTACAGGCTTCATTCCACCTAGTTGGAATTACCTCTCAATATCAAGAATTATTTCCTAAAGAAAGTCTTATTTATATACTAGCATAGTTTTAATAAACATTAATAAACATTAAGCTGCAGTTTATACCTATTTTCCCTGGTTTAATCTCAGCAGAAATGGATCATACTGTATCTCTTTATAATATCTTTTTTTCATTAAAAAAAATCGAATGTATCTTATCTTCAACCTTTCTATTGCAAATATAATTATATGCTCAGATTACCTCAGACATTTATATTTATGCACTAAAGTAACAACTCTATTCTTTAAAATGGATCAAGTTATTTACCAGTTAATCTGGGAAAAAAAACGAAAGATGGAATATTAACTAGTAATAAATGTCAAACTGTATTCAAAGAGATTACTTATTACTTTTTTTTTTTACCCATGACATGGCAACCTCTCAAATTGATAGTTTTAACAGTACAACTGTTTAATTTATTACAAAGTTTGAAGGTATGTTCTGTTCCCAAAATAATTACATTCAAGAAACTACTGATTAAAAAAGAGGCAGTGATAATTTCTCATGTCACATCTAAAGACATTCATCAAAACAGTTTCTGAAAGTAACAATATTGCATAATTTAACGAAAAATACTTTTGGTCTGATTCTTTTTGTAGTTCTCTGTTAAGTTCATCAATCCGCTGCTGCAGTTTTTTACGTCTCTGTTCCGGGGGTAGATGACTGAAATCTTCTACCGCTGGACCCTGAAATGAAGAGACTATGTCATTACTAAATACATTTTCTGGAGATTTCATCTGACTCAAAGCATACCTGCAGTTACCAAAACACTTCAGTCTGATATCAGGAGAAGAGGCATTTCTTTTAAAATGCACATTAATTTAAAAAAAAAAATACATGACAAAAAAATTGCAAGATGAGATTTGGAACAAATTAATTTAAAACACAACAAAGCAGAAAATAATTTTTATATTTAAGCTTACTAGAAATACACATACTAAGAAAAATTTTGACTTTGATCATTATTTTCATCTTAGAATAGAAAAGCAGCTGATGACGGAAATTTGCAATGACAAGCCATTTTTAGTCTATACAAAGTAACTTCAAGCCTAGATTGCATTAAAATTATTAAACCTTATTACATCATCAATAACGAAATAGAAACATGACAATTCTCATCTACATAAAGATTTGTTTATAGTTTAATCACATTTCCATGTTAAACCCAATGTCAAAACCCAATGTCATACTACTTAAGTAAAAATGTCAAATTAAAATAGGAATAGAGTGAACATTAATTAGTTCAGTGAATTACTTGTTCAAATGTGTTGAGTCCTGTCCAACTCTTCCTGACCCCATTTGGGGTTTCCTTGGCAGAGATACTGGAGTGGTTTGCCACTTCCTTCTCCAATTTATCTTTCAAATGAGGAGAATGAGGCAAACAGGATTAACTGACTTGCTCAAGGTCACACAGCTAGCGTCTGAGGCCAGATTTGAACTCACAAACATGAGTCTTCCTCACTTCAGCCCAGCATTCTACCCACTATGCCACCTAGCTGCCAAGAAATTACTTACCTTGCACTAAAGGCTCAATTTGTCCAACATATGAAACATTTTTAATGTTTAATAATTAATACCTGCATAGTTTCTAGATAGGCAGATCTACCTATTTCTTATAATCAAAGAAGATCTAATAATAGCTAAATTAAAAATAGAACTGCCTATTAAGTAAGAAGCAAGTAAAAACTAAATTCACTACTACTATGTTCAATACTCCTTTGGGCAATAACGATCATAAATGAAAGCCTTATGAGAGTGGGAATCATGTATTATCTAAATTTTTTATTTCTCCCAGCAGCGTTGTTCACCAAATTGAGCCTTAACAAATATTCTCCATTGATTAAGTTGTGTGACCAAATAAAATATCTAATTTGCCCAACCAACAGAAATCTAACACAAATCTCTTTAGTAAGAATGATGTTTAGGATTTTTTTTTTTAAGGATAAGAAAGAAAAAGCCAAGGCAAGGGGGAAGGGAATGTTGGCAATGACACTTACAAGGACTTGTATAAAATTATAAAATTCAGGTAGAGTTACCAGTCTAAGTAAAATGTAAGTTTATTCTTATTATGACTTTCAGCTGTATTAAAAATAACTGACTTAATTATGAAATTATTGATTCTATTTTCTCATTATTCAACTACTTAAAGATCTCATATCACTTATTTTTTAAATGTTGATACCTCTTATTGATTTATATATATATAAAAATATATCTTTCTTTTGAATAATATATTCTCAAAATGGTGACTGAAAACAGGATCAGTTTTATAAACGCTATTGGGATATGCGTGCACATTTGGACATTCTGTACACGTGTCAATTTTATACATATTAAGTGATAACATGTGCCAGCTCTAAAAACACATGCTATATTGCATCTGTCTCTGCAAAATGACTTTGATGATGAGTTTTTTTTTCTTTTGGTGAGGCAATCGGGGTACAGTGACTTGCCCAGAGTCACATAGCTATTTAAGTGTCAAGTGTCTGAGTGGAGCTCTATCCATTGCGCCACCTAGCTGCCCCTTTGATGATGAGTTTTAACTCATTCTGGTTTCCAAATTAATGTAAAATGAAACTACTCCAAAAGGCATTCAAACATTTTCTCAGTGGTCTCAAGTGTACCTCTCTAGGAAAACTAAATATAAAGGACCCCACCCATATACTCAAATCTTACTGATATATCGCATGTTATCATATAACACGAATAGTGATAAAAGTGATAAAAGTCAAAACACCGACTAGTGTAAATGAATGTAGGAGCTCCTCACTTGACTTTCATTTTTTAACTCTAGCACTTAATGATCAATGTCAGTTATATTAATTTTAGGCTCAGGTTTTGAAAAACTATGGTGATGACTGCTCTCAAAGGTAAAGTCTTTCAATATCTAATAACATTTTTAAACTATAGAGATTACATATTATTTTTCTTACCACATTTCATTTTCTATTTCCTATAGATATGTTATTCAAACTTACCCCTTAGCAAATTGTTATTTCCAAACCCACACTTTAGGAAACTTTTTTTTTCTGATTTCTTTCATCGACCATTACCATCAACTTTGTTTATAGTCTTGTTGTAGACAAAGTAATGGAAATCATTTGAAACATTTAACCATCTCCCCTGGTCCAGAGAGGCTTCAAGAGAGGGCAAATCAAGTCTGAAAGTAATGGTTTATTCCTAAACCTAGTAAAACTGGCTTCCAAATAATTTCTAGGTCATATTCATAGTATAGCTCTATTATTTTGTTCAGAGTCAATTTCCATATTCAACTATAGGAAGAGACATTCTGAAGTGAAACATAAATAATTCCAGTCTCCCTTTCATTCAAAATAAAGAACTAGCACAAATTTTTTCAAAATGAAAGTAGTTAAGTAGAAATAATTTTTCTTAGAAAATCTGATTCTTGAAATGTATGAATTTTAAATCAAATGTGAATACCAATTAAGAAAAATTATTAAATGAAAATCACCTTTTGTTTATTTCGGCTAGCTTTCCTTTTTCATAAAACTTAGAAAAGATGTTCACAATGTAAAATTTTGTTTTCTTCTCCAGTAGGACATAAAATCCACCCAATACTATTAAAGTAAATTAAGTAACCAATTTATTCAGGCTTAGAGTTAGTATTCTGTTCTTAAAACTCTAGCATTAAGTGTCAGGTGGGGAACACCAGGTTACATGGAATGTAGATTAAATCATAAAAATAAAAAACAGATACAAGATGATAATGTGGGATGTAGTTTACAACTAATTTTGAATTATTCAAATGTAAACAACTTTATACAGTATATAGATCAGCTCATAAGGCTTACCATCTTCACCGACCACTGAACAGTTTAATTGAAAATAGAAAGAAATGGCATATTATTCACATGCAACCATAATATAAGATGTAATAACCTAGAGATGTATATTTTCCACAAAGTTAAAAGTAAATTATACACTGTTTTATGATCTGAACAAATCTGCCAGAAAAACAATTTCAAGCACATTTTTTGAAAATAAGTCACTGACAACAGAAGCACACACAATGATAACGGGCAGATATTTTGTGATTTTAACTAATTAAAATTCAAGATTAAAGAAAATGTGTTCAAATTAGTCTAATAGTAATCACTTATTTTCTGTAAAGAACTGTTTACATGAACCAAGAATGATACATAGATATATGCTAGGGTATTAATAGATATCATAAAAATGCCCACCAAATCCTGATTTTTACAATGCTAACCAGAGGCAGCAAAATAGAATTTGAGCTTACAAAGTTCACAAATAAGATTAATTTTTAAGTTTAATATATAACAAAAATGGAAGAAAAAATAAACAAGCAATACATAAATGAGGGAATGTTCAACAATTTCTCTTTTGCTTTTTCTTGCAAAAGCATGTCCCTTTATTTTCAGGGCCCTTAAAAAAAAGAAATTCATAGTTTTATTCATAACATTGATAAATTTAAACAACATAATTTTCCAATTTTAGAAAATGGTAACTATTTTGAAAAAGACTAAATGGCACAGAGTCTGACTCTATGTTTCCTTAAATAGAGCTGCCATCATTGTGAAAAATCTCAGATATATTTCATTTAGAATGTCCATATAGTATATACCTTTTTGTATTACACACCAACAGATTAATTAGTGGTAGGCTGAAACTGCTACTCTATGTACTAAAGGTATCTTGACTAGGATCCTTGTCATACATTAAAGAGATTTTTATTAAGTAAATTATCTTCATATTTGCTAGTGGTCTTTATTCAAGCTTGTAGACAACGAAAATTTTATTTTTCATTGATTTAATTTTCTAAATCCTAAATTTAGAAGGAAAAACATTGAAATGTTAATCTTTGGATGAATTTTAACAAGTATCTGACAAAAATATCTACCCATTTATCTATGATGCATTGATCAAATGTGTAAATGTTTTATGACTATAACAGGATGACATTTGCTATCATGGTCCTTTCAAAAACATCTAGTTAAAATGCTCAGAATACTTTTTAGACTGTTAGAGATGGGAGTGAACAAATATCAGTCTATGTTTGTTATGGCATTGCTGGTAATAATTTATGGGGACTCATGAAGCATGGCTAAAATAGTGTATTTCAATTCTCATGGTCTTCTTAAAATGTTTCTAGAATAAAAACACATTTAGGACAAGAAAACAAAACGTGATGTATCTGACTTATTTATTATCTTACATGACAATTTTGGGGAAAAATTTCTTTTTAAATTAAATCATGGTTCTTCACACATAGTTGGTATTTTAAAATGCCTGCAAAATGAATAACTTATATAATAATTTACGCACATTAGCTCTGTGATGGTTATCATGTTATCCTTTAGAAGGAAATGTAAGATAACAGAAAGTTACTACATATTAAATAGATGTTTCACTGATCTGGATGCAGCAAATACAGCTGCACTAAGTCAGAGTCATTGATTTTGAGATACAGAAAAGTTTTACAAACAAAACAGAATGATACTGAGTACAAAACTATGATGTATTTCTACACTTTCTACTTGCTGTTCTGGTCACTCACTGCATAAAAAAAGAAACAATGGAAAATAGAGAAGAGTGATCAACAAAGATTTTCTACCCAAGACCAGATTTTTTTAAACTGTAATAAGACAAAGTCTGAGAAATCTCTTACAGATGTCTACAAAAATCACACAAAGTATGGGCACCAATTTATTCATCAAACACTGGTTCAGTTAGAACAAAGGGAGCACTTATTGAACATCAAATGAGGCACTTTATGACCAAACAAAATCAGACAGAATATTTGAAGTACATCTCAATACTCTTGCATAGAAAAGTACCTCAGTTTCATGGTCAGAATCAAAATATTGGTATGACTCAACATGGCAGGTTCTCATTCTTACTTGTATTCTCATTCTTAATTGTAAATGTCAACTAAATAATGTTTCTTGTAATGACAATTTAGACAATCTTAAAAATACGTATTTTAGAAAGGCATGGTTCAGGTCTAGCTCTGATTTTCTTAATCTAAACACCTGAATTACAGAATTAATAAAACTAATAAAGTTCAATTCTTTCTCTCACACTACTTGATTTAAAAATAGAAATGAACATAATTTCCACAAATTAATCCCTTGATATTAAAACAAATAAAATAAGTGTCACAACCTGAGGCAGCTTGGCTTGAAGTCAGGAAGCCATGGAATGAAACCTTAATTTACACGTGACTCTAGACAAGTCATATGTTTCAGGCAACTCCATCTACTAAGCATTACCAGATTTTAATCTGCTGCTATGGAAGTAGTTATCATTTCAAGAGCTTTCCCTCTCTTAGACAAAATCACAGATTTAACTGTCAAGACAAAAAACTCAAGTCAAATGTTTGTTTGGCTTCAAGGTGATGAGCCAACAGGAAGGAAAGTGGACAGAGAACAACATGATCTTCTAAAAGGCCAGGTCTCCATTAAATCAGCAAGATATTTGCAAATAAAAATTAATTATTAAGCAAGCAAATGGAGTTCCAAATTTTATAACTATAAAATTCTACTCCTATTAAATAAAAGTAAAGAGGTCATGACCTCAGGCTTATCATGCCCAAGCTTAAGACAATTTGAAATTCTTAAACAACCTCTTCCTTCATACATCTGAATCTGCTATAAAATTCTCCACATCAATCCATTGCTCCCTAAACTAAACAGAATATAGTAATAAAGACCTGGCATGCTCAACACTATAAAAAGACAGACCCCCAAATCCCCCAAAATAAAGAACTAAGCTGAATAAAAATATGGTACCTAACACTATTATTTTCTCACAATTCACGTAACTTAACACAAAACATTTATTATAGTCTGTACTGGCATTATGAAACATTGGGGTAATTCTACATTCATTAGTCAGTCACTGGAACCCACCTACAACTATTGCTAATGATTTTTTAAAATTATAACATTTTACACGTCACTACAGCTGTAAGTGTATATTCATTATTGTAGGTCATTTAAAGGAATAATCTTTATTTTTTATTTATTTTATTTTTTTGCAGTATTAGCTGTGGTAGTCACAACAAAATTTATATTACGGGCAGATTATGAAGAAGCTAAAATGAATGATCAACAATAATAATTCAACAGTGAAATAACCACTGTATGTAAAAATAAATCACTTGTTTGTCACACTTTTCCAAAGGAGTTGTATGATCAAATACTATACTAAGTTAATAAATTTTGAATTATGTGTGATCAACTGATGCACATAACTAAAACAATCTGATGTTAGGCAGGGATTTTTAAGCTTTAAAAATGAAATGTAAATGTCAGCTCAGACTTCAGTTAATGAACACATTTCATATGACATTGTTGGAGTTTAATTTTTTTCTCTGTATGTCATCAAGATGTGGCATATAAAGAAATGACTTTTACTTTTCATAATAAATAAAAAATGGCCAAACAAGATATTAAAAATGCATCTAAAACTATACTCCAAAAATGCAAATAAGTCTCTAAACAAAAAATAAGCCAGACTATGCTTCACTGACATAATGGAATAATAATGCCAGTTTATTTAAAACTAATATAGAATATATTGCTAGGAAGTCACATTACTATTCTATTTCATTGTCTCCCAAAACAAATTCTACTTACAGATGACATTATTATAAATTAGTAAGTATAGACGGCTAAAAAAAAATGGCATTTAGAAGTTTTGATGGAAGGCATTTTATTTTTTTTTAAATCCTCAAAAAACCCAATTCAATTTAAACATAATTTATTGATCACTTCCATCTAAAAGTTAAATTAAGTACCTAAATTTTTTTTCAACTGTATAAGTGTTTTAGTTTAAATGGAGCTAAAATATTTAAATTATTACCAAAATGATACTTTAGAAAACTGGCAGATGAAGTCAGCATAACTAATTATTAGAAGACGAAGTTTAATAATAAATTACTCTAAGTAATGTAGAATACAGTACAAGACAGTGGTGGACACACATGATTTCATGTAAACAGAAAAATAGCTTAAATATATGATTGCACCCACCACCCTCTTTATAACACCATCCTTTAGAATCAAGCATTTCAAATGTTATAAAGAGGAGATTTCTTTCTTTCTTTTAACTTGAGGGTGGCTATACTTATTACAGTGGTATTTTATAACTATATTCTCAGAAAGAGCCTTATAATGAGGGTGGAGAGTATTAAAAGCCACACCACACACACAATAGGCCATCATGCATTTTAACCCATTATTAAACTTACCCCTCTTTTGAGGCTTCTGAAAGAAGGAATTCTGGGCTTCCCTGTTTTTATTTCACTCATACAATAATGCACAGGTTCAATGGAGAATGTGAGAAACTGGGACCCATTAGGAGTACTGGATGTGAATAAACTAGTAGGGGTAAGGGGTGGGGACTGTGGCTAACATAGAAATAAAGAAAGGAATCAATAAGCCAAATGTGCATAGTGGTTTTCTTTTTAAACGAAAATGCTATCTTTGGCAACATGCTTTTTTTTCTCCCACAGTATAAACCTCACAAAAATGTATCCTACTACATACTACAAAAAGTTCAGTTAATACTTGCTGAAAATTAAATAACCACAGAAGTTAAATATACTTTTAAAATATACCATTCCACTTATTTCTTTTTTAAGAAGTAAATACAGAAAGTAAAATTTAAGTGCCATTTAAGAATGGCATAAACTAAAAACATAATCCTCAAGAGAGCTAGTGGACCTGAATAATTATCAAATTCCTGGCATGTGTGGACTCTGTGGATTTCTGAATAATGATGTACTTTACTGCACTCGTGGGGGACATTTATTTACACACTTAGGGTACCTTATGACTGTTGCTGCAGCTACAACAATCAGAACAGGTCATAAGACATGTAGTAAAGTTTAAATTGTGGTTCATGGTTAACTAGAATAGGCAAAAAAGTTTATTTTATGTATGCTTATGGCTTTTCAACAGTCTGGTCCTATATCTTCTCTCAGGTGGACAATATATTCATTAGTAATTAAGTTTATACTCATCACTAGCTACAGCTTTGCTTCACATTATTTTTAATTCTTATTTATACCTACACCATGATCAGAAAATGTGTTAGAATGATCAAATAAACATTGCATTTAATAAATACAATTAGCCTATTTTTCTTTATTGATGACTATAATCTTCAAAAGGAATTACTAAACTAGAAGATAAGAAACAAGTAATTCTACTTTGCTTTCAGAAATGGATTTATCTACCTAAATAAACAAATCAAAAGATCAAGTCTAAGCATGCAATGGAAGTAATGACTCCAAACTTTAACTAAGAACCTTGAATATTGCCTATTAAGACTTTCTTAGGAATATTTAAATTATTTATGAGACTGAATATGAACAAAATCAACTTTCATAATGATCAATTATTTATGTTGACTGTCAATAATACTACTAATAATCTTTTAGTTGGACCCTGAGGATATTTTGCATATAAAATTTCCATTCAAAACATTAACAAAACGTTAGCAATTTTCATTAACAGTCTAATAAATTCCAGGATTATAGCCAAAGTCTGATCTCATTTTTTTCAGCATCATGCTTACAAAAATATCTACACTCTATACGAATTCATCTCTATTAAAAAATTTTAAAACATATCCCCAAATAACTGACCATTCAATATCTATGCTAACTATAACTTCTCCAGCTAATATGTGAAATAATCTGAAATCCTGGTTTTGAATAATTAGTGTAATAAGCCTATAAATCTTACCTTTGGTTTCTTTCCAAAAAGCCACAACTTGCCCTTGGCCTTTCCTACAGTAGTTTTGGCGTCAATCTTCCCACTGTCCTGCTTAGAGGCACTGATAGTACCATCAGAAACGGTCCTATAAATATGCTGACTATAATCTTCAAAAGGAAAATCTCCTGGAGGTTCAAATCCAGACTTGAAGGAGTCGACCACCATTTGCGAGTCCTGAACACAAGAAATTTAGAATTTTAAAACCATTACATTTATTTCTACATATGTTGCTGATACTTTCAGAACATTAACCAAGGCAAGGGATACTAACAAACTGTATGAGGGATTTCAAAATTTAAAACCTTACAGAAATTATTAAATGAACAATTTAGTTGCAAAAAGTTTCTTCTTGTGTACTTAGAGTGTCACTCAAAAATATCAAACCATAAATATATCTGAAATACTAACAGCAAAGAGTCCTTTTCTTACTCTTAGCTCCTGACGGATTTATACAAATTATTTAGTTTTGAAATCCAAATTCCCATTTTACTTGTAACATTGATCCTCAGAGTTTCAGTTAACTTACATAAAAACCAACCAAAATCCAACTAAGAATTATAAGGAGAGAAATGGATTCATACAAAAGGAAAATCAGAGGGGAGAAAAATAAACTGTAAAACAGTAGTTCTTAACCTTTTTTTAATCTCTTGAACCCCTCTGGTGATTTGGTGAAGCCTATCATCCTTTCTCAAAATAATATTTTTTAGATGCATAAAATAAAACATACAAGACTACAAAGGAAACATCACACGAAAACACAGTTTTAAAATGAGTTCACTGAATCCAGTTTAAGAATCCTAGCTTTAGAGAGAACAGAATAAATGGGGGGTGGGATAGGATGAAGGGAAATACAGTTAATTTTTCACAACATGGCCATTATGGAAGTGTTTTGCATGACTACACATGTATAATCTGTATCGAGTTGCTTGCCTTCCCAATGAGTATGGGTGGGCAAGGAGAAAGGGAGAGAATTTGGAACCCAAAGCTTTAAAAACAAATGTTAAAAAATTGTTTTTACATGCAACTGGGAAATAAAATATACAGGAAATGGGGTATAGAAATCTATTCTGCCCTACAAGAAAATAGAAATGGGAGGGAATAAGAGGGGGGGCATAATAGAAGGAAGGGCAGATCAGCGGAAGGGGTATTCAGAATGCACACCATCTTGGGTGGGGGGAGGGGAGAGATAGGGAGAAAATCTGGAACTCAAGATCTTGTGGAAGTGAATGTTGAAAACTAAAAATAAAGAAAGAAAGGCTGTTGACTTAAAAAAAAAGAATCCTAGCTTTAGAGGATCAGTCTAAGTGAGCATGAGTTAAAAGTTCTTAACTGTAGAGGTTTTCCGTTAATGGATATGTTTGTTAAAGGGGAAAAATAATCTTTGTTAAAGTTGAGGACAATTCTGGAATGAGTACCATATCCTTACCTCTCTTACTGTTACTTTACAGAAAAACAATTCTTTTTAAAGAAACTACTTAATTTTTCCTTTATTAATTTATAATACTTAGATAATCCATTCTATAGATGATATAGATGGTTCATGTATATACTATTTTAAAAGTAAGCCATTTCATTACTATTTTTAAAAATGGATAATATAATTTGCAAAAAATCCATCACAATTAAATTCATTTCAAGGAAGCTTTATTACAATAAGGGATTATCTAGTCCAACCTTCAACCAACTACAAGGATTACTTAGGCCTATTTTATTTAGTCCTACTATCAAAATATAAATTACTTTGCAGCAACCTTTACCCAACTTAAATATAACCTACTAAATAAAACCTACTTAAAGAAAACAACACTTAGGTACAGGTAATACGTGCAGAACTCCTTTACAATTGCTAATTCATTCCTGTGAGATGTTTTTCAAATCTTATCCTGTAAAGTAAGAATATAATTTTTAATACTATGCTCATTTTAACAAAAATTTTAATAAAAATTTCAGCTATTTTATAGGGACTGTTATAAAAAGGAATTTACCTATAGAAATAAGTTACTGTATAAAACAATTCCTGGTTTGCTGAATAGGTATGTAACTATATTGTAAAGCAATTTTTATTTTTTAATAATTTATTTTTCCCCCAATTACATGTAAAAACAATTATTTAACATCTGGTTTTGTTTTGTTTTTTAATTTTCAGTTCCCAATCCTCTCCCTGAGATAGTAAGCAACCTGATACAGGTTATGTATGTGCAATCATGTAAAACATATTTCCATATTAATCATTTTGTGGAAGAAAACTAGAATGGAAGGAAGGAAGGTTTCTTGAGGAAGAAGGGGACACATTTATAGGCAGTAGGTAAGCAACCAGCAGAAGCGGAGAGACTGAAGACAGATGATAGAGGAGGCAATTTGCTCAAGAAGACAGGATGAAATGGAAATCACTCATACATGTAGAAAGGGGTTCCTTTAACAAGGAGAAGGGACACTGCACATAAGAGAGAGGCAGAGGAGGATTTAGTGGCAGAAGGCATTTGAGTGATTTGAGATAAGGGAAAAAGGAAGCTCTTAGTGAATGGCCTCATTTTTTTTCATTTTTTAATAAATATGGAACAACCTTCTCAGCTGAGAGGATAAAGGAAATGAGAGTCGTGGGAAGTTTGAGAGGGATGAAAAGGTTTGGAAAAGCCACTGTGGGGACTGGGACAGTGAGTTAATTAGAGAGATGTGAAAGGACTGCCTTGCCAAGGGTCCAGTTGGAATAATATAACATAAATTTCTAGTGGATTCAATCAGCATTATTTCATGACTTTGTCCAACTTTGTTTAGTAGCATGTGAGTAGTTGCAAAGGCAGGGGATGGTTATTCAAAAGATTAAGGTGGGGCAAAGAACTCAAGAGAAGAGGACACATTGTAGAATTGAACTGATTTACTAAAGGGTGATAATGGAAAAAGCAGGACAGGAGTATAGCTAGTACAAGAGTGATAGTCTGGGAAACAAGTGATAGCCTGAGGGGTTGAGGAATCAGAAGATACAGTTATAATGAAAAGGATTTGGAGTTGCAAGGCAAAGGGAGATCAGATTAACAGATCTGAGAATTTTTGAACACAGAGATGGTGCATTTGTGGGTGCTGGCAAGAGCAGGGATGTGATTATCTCTGTGTGTAGCTGATGTGGGGTGAAGGAGTAGGTCATGGGAAATGATTAAAACTAAAAAAATTGTGAGGTTAGAATGTTTGAGAACCTAGCTCGATCTATAGACATACATCTATATATTAAAGTCCTCGAGTATAAGACTGATACTACATCTCTTCTATCACAGTGGTAAACACTTTTGGAGAATACATCTTCCTGACTGGTGCCTTGTCTGATGTTTATGATCAGAAGATCACTGAACAAGGTTACTTCTGGGGTAACTGTCAAGGACCCTTGAATGACATTGATACATAGATGGGAGACACCTTGTTGGAAGTGAGCATTTAAGAAAGCATTTTGCATTACCAAAACAATGCATTTTCATAATGAACAAACAATAAGGAAACTAGGATCTTGTATTCTTTACATTTTTCAATCAATTGTGTAATTATAAAAATGTGATCCACTGTGAAATGTCCCCTGTGAAAGTCTGTTCCCAAATACTACTTCATTGAGGATGCCCTCAATTAATGTGTGAGTCTCAAAGACTTTGTATAAATGACAACAAGGAGACAAATAAATCAATAGTTGTTTATTTTCTCTGTTACTACCTTTTCTGGCATTAAGATCTGAAAATTTTTTCTATAGTTTTCATATCTTTCCCTCCTTCAGATACCTTGTAAATTGATCCTTCAACATTCTCACCATTGTGTCACCTCCAGTATGGATCTCCTCTATGTACTTGGTTTAATCTCATTACTCTTACTGTCTTTAGTTTCTTTAGTACCATTTCTACCTTTCAAAAGCATATCTGGAACTATGACGTTAAAATTGGAATGTGGCAACTCTACTGTCCTTTACTGGTGAAAACAGTATTTAATAAAAATTTTTACAGATTTTTTTCTATTTTTCTTGTGTCTGTTATTTTCTACAAAGTCCTACTCACCTGCCTGATCTTAGCATAAAGATGACTTTGAGTACTTAAAGGTTAAGCTAACAGAGTATAACAACTGGAAGGTTCTATCATGACACTAGGTAAAATATAAAATTGAACTAAATTTTAAACATTCAGGCTTTCAGTATGGTGCTGGAACAGACCAAATTAATTTCATGAAGACTAACTATCTAAGCCACTTAATGATGAATTTTTTTAGCCACAACCACACATGAAATAAAGAAAAATACAAAATAGCCTTCCGAAAGAAAAGAGAGCTGAGGGTGGTAGGAATCATCATCTATAAAAAGTCTATAAACTTATGTTAAAACTCTAAATGTAAGGTCCTTGTCCAAAGACCAATGACTGAAAATACTATTTAGAAAAATGCTATCCGCCTCCAGAGAGAGAACTGATGAACTCTGAGGGCAGACTGAAGCATATTTTTTTCACTTTCTTTATTTTTCTTGCTTTTAGGGGTTTGTTTTTTTTTTTGTGACATGGTGAATATGGAAATATGTTTTGCAAAAAAATATATATATGTTTTGCATGACTTCACATGTATAATAGGTTACCATATTGCTTGCCTTCTCAATGGGTGAGGGAAAGGTGGCAAGAAGAGAGAGAATTTGGAATTTAAAATAAAAAACTGAATGTTAAAAAAAATTAAAAATTAAAAGCTTGGGGGAAAAAAAGCAAGTATTATTCAAGGAGCTAACTTGACATTCTTGTTATAAAGAAAACCAGAAGAAAGAAGGAAGCTTACAGCTAAATGGAAACATGGCTCACAGGAAACTTACGAGACAAAGGAGTTGACATAAAGGGCTTTATCATATACATCAAAACAACAAGAAAAAATATTATTTCTTTGACTATTTGGTTATCTTTTAAGAGTACCTATTACATAAGATTTTGCAAAAAGACGACCATTAAAATAATTTCAACTAATGCACAAACACTGAAGATAGAAGATGAAAAGGTAGAGAAATTCCATGAAGAACAAGGTTATGACCCTCCACATTATCAGCATACATTGATACTCAGTGACTTCAATATAAAGGTAGAAACAGGTGAGAATGGCATAAAATCTTATGAAGAAAGGTGATAGATAACTATGAGCAGCATTGCCTCACAACAGAGAAAAAACAGAGGGCAAAATTGGTTTAAAGAAAACTTGGCAAGAAATCTAACTATGGAAAGAAATCCCAAAGGCATTTAAGAATGAGAATGGAAGGAAGATATTTTTGCTTTTGGCATGGAAAAAGTAATACTAGGTTAAAGACACAAACACACACACAAAAATAGATACTGTCACTAACTCTACTAATTAATCAGAGAGAAACTGATCAGCCTAGCAAATAAAAGAAATTCAAACCCACCCAGCTTCCAAACTTCACTATTTCTGTTGAAGGAACCACTATTCTTCTGATGTCCCAGATTCATAACCTTGACTTTGTCCTTAACTCGTCACTCTTCTTCAACCCATACATTCAATCAGTCGCCAAATCTTATCATTTCTACCTCCAAAACATCTCTCATCCCACTCCTCTATTCACACAGCTACCTCCTTCAAGCCCATAACAACATTTACCTAGATTATTGCAAAAGCTTAACTGCTCTGCCTGACTAAAGTCTTCACCACCTCCACCACCACCCCCATGTCAGTCTATCCTACACACTGTTGCCAAGCTATTTTTCCTTAAGTACAGATCTGACCATGTCACCCTCTTATTCAATAAATCTAGTAGCACTGTATCTGAATTATATTTTAACATAAACACATATACATGAGAGGCACTTCCATAAAGAGGATTACATATTAAACTGTGACTCTCCATTTCAAACTATGTCGTTTAAAAACGAGCACAAAATAAATTCTATACGTTACTTTCAAAACTGTCCTGTTTATCTGTGCTTCCTTTTGAATTTCCTCCTATTCACTTCTGTAATTTTGTTTTTTTTTTTTTGTTTGTTTGTTTTTGTTTTTTCAGCCAAAGACAAGGTTTATTAGAACATCCATCATACTGGGCAGACTCTTAAGGAGTCTGAACATTAGTAAGCTATTGCCTTATTGGCTAGATTATAAGAATCTAAGCAGTGACTAGATTATAAGAATCCCAGCAGTGGCTAGATTTTAGGAATCCCAGCAGTGGTTAGATTATAAGAATCTAAGCAGTGGCTAGATTTTAAGAATCTAAGCCCACTTCTGTAATTCTGAAAAATGTTTCAGTGGATCTCTGTTTGGCATAGATTCTGTTCTGATTCTGTGATTACATGCTGAGTATGGGACTGAAGTGTCATAATTTAAATGTGTTCATAATTGTATTGATAAATGTGTTGATAATGAAAATATATGGATCATCACAGAGCACTACACGGAGTCTGAATCTTACTTTAGAGTCTTATTAGCTGGGTGACTCTGAGCAACTCACTTAAACTGTGTTTCAGACTTAGTTTCTTCATCTATTAAATGGGAGAAATAATAACAACTGCACAAAGTTGTTGTGAGGATCAATGATATTAAAATATGTAAAGCCCTTGGCAAATATATTAGCTAAAATGGTTTGAAAGCTAAGAAAACTGTTCCAATTTTCATGTTTCTTGCCCCCTTGCCTTTAGGTGACTTTGTATATACTTTCTATTTACTTCTCTGTATACCAGTTGTTTCCTACCATTTTTCAAGAGAGTTTAAGTTCCTTGAAGGCAGGAAGTGCTTCCTTTTTAACTTTGTAAACCCAGCACCTGGCATAGTAATAAATGCTTGTTGAGTTTATTTGTTTTATTATATTTTACCCAGTATCATAGTTAACTATTGTTTTTGTTCAGTTACATCCAACTCTATGTAACTCCATTTGGGGTTTTCTTTGCAAAGATACTGGATAAATCTGCCATTTCCTTCTCCAGCTCATTTTTATAGATGAAGAAACTGAAACAAACAGGATTAAGTCACTTGCCCAGCATTACATTGCTAGTAAGTGTCTGAGGCCAGATCTGAATGCAGGAAGATGAGTCTTTCTGACTCCAAGCCTGGCAATCCACTGCGCCACCTAGTTAACTGTTATGGGTAACTATTATGACCCATTATTTTTTTCTTATCTTGGTTCCTAGGATAATTTCAAATAAATTCAGAAATTTCAAAGCTGTCTGCTAATTTTAAATATCCTTTTTACAACATTGACCAACTTTTTTAACAGGGAGGAAAAACCTATTTCAAGAAACAAATCCTTTCAGTACAAACTATATTTTGTGCTGGCGACAGATACTTTTTATCTTTCAGCTGATGGAGCAGGAAAATGGGTGAGTAGCCAGGAGTGTTGTCAAACTGTGTCAAGTTGTGCCAAACTAGCTTTAACTTAAGAAAAATTCAAATTTGTGGCCTCAATTCATAGTTTTGTTCCAAATTCAGTAGAGGAAAGACAGAAACACATTCACATTTTCAAGCTACTCCGACATTTCCTAAAATCATGAAAAAAGGTCCTCAACATAACAAATTAATTTAAGTGTTTTATTGATTTTGAATTTGCACTCTTCACATTTTCAGAGAATCAAATACCATAGTCTATAGTACTGTATCTCTATTCAACAGTACTATATCTATACATCTTTTATTCACTTACCATGTATTATTCTGTATTCTAGTTATTTATGTATTTCCTGTACCCTAATTGTCTTGTAAACTCCATGGAATCAAGGACTCTGTTTTACCTAAACATTTTATCTCTCCTAGCAACCACATATAGAAGACAGTTAATAAATGTCAGTTTACTTGAATTTCAATTTTAACCATCTCATCTAATTTAAAGATTTATGATTTCAAGGAACCACTCTTAATATTTTAGCACCCTTTGTAACTTACTTAAGATTTGAGCCAGAGTGAAACTTAAAGCAAAGGGCCCACTTTAAAAGAATCCTAAAATCTCAGAGCTGAAGGGACCTGAGAAGTAAACTAGTCTGATCTATACATGAAAAGGCATTCCTTCCACAGTATCATCAACAAATACTTATTCACCTTTGACTGCAGATCTTCAGTGAAAGAATATCTACCATCTCCTAAAAACATCTCCATTCTTCTTTTGAGTAGCAGCTCTATAACTTTTTGTTTACCTTAAGCCTAAATCTGCCCCTTCGAAGCTTCACCCACTGCTCCTCAGTGTGGCCTCTGGGGCCACATCTTTCAAACACTTGAAGACAGCAATCACATGTCCTCTAAGAACAGGAAGAGGACTACAACTGTGACAATTATAACCTTCCCAGTAGTCTAGCACCCAGCAGCCTATTCTTAGGAATTATGTTCTCTAAGAAAAAAGGTCAAAAATAATGTTTCATGTATAAGAATAATAAAAAATGAAATGCGACAACTTTGTAGTAAATAATTTGAAACCAAGCAGAATTTAAACTATATAGTTAAAATTAAAAATATGTAGTGCTTTTCTTGGAAGAGAAATACCACTAATGCATAAACCTTACATCCAAATGAAATGCATTTAAGGGTACTTACTCTTCTTTCATCAACTGACTTTGCAGCATGAATCATTCCTTCCAAGCACTTTGAGATGATTGGAACAACTTTACGTTCTGAATCTGCAAATCCTTTATAACATTCACTGAGTTTGATGGTTCTTCGTTCATCCATTTCCTGAAGATGCTATCAACCAAAAAATTACAAAGAGGAAAATATACCAATGAACGTGTCATGATGATCAAAAGCTTCAGCATACTACTAGATGTGATAATAATAACAATAATGACAATAAGGAGGTAGAATTTATATAGCAGTTTGAGGTTTGCAAAATGCTTCACAAATATTGTCTCATTTTATCCTCACAATAACCCTGAGAGTTAGGAGCTATTATTAGCCACATTTCATAGATAACAAAACTGAGGCACACAGAGGTTATATAACTTGCCCAGCATCACACATACAGTATCTGAAGCCAAATCTGAAATCAGGTTTTACTGACTTCCAGGTCCAACATTCTATCCATTGCACTATTCAACACTACAACATTACAACAGATTCCCAATTGCTTAACAAAGCACTTAATGACAAAGAAAAATAACTAACATTTATCCTTAAAATGTTTCTCTTTCCTTTCTGTGGGCTACTATCTTAATTCTTAGAAATCTGTCATCTAATGAAATCTGAAAAAAATATTTTTGAAATATATAATCATGCACATTTAGCTTATTGGTAATTTTGGTTAACAGCTGATCTAGAAACATTCCAGTGTCCTGCATTTGAGAGACAAAATGTAAAATTACAAGACCTTTCACAAATATACTATAGGATTCATTTCATTTACAAAACTTACCTTATAAATCTGAGGAATGACTATGTAAAAATGTTTGTGCTGTTCTCCATTAAAGTTCTGAAGTTGTGCAGCATATTCATTTTTATTTTCATCAGCCATATGTGTCCGAAGATTCAGCTGCTGTTTAGCCTACAAAGAAATATGTCAGACTAAGCCATTACAAATAAAAAATGCATGGTTAAATCATTCTTGAAGACTCACACTCATATGAACCAAGACTAGATTTTATGAGTGGATAAACTAGTATTGGGTATTAGGAAGACAATAGTACTGATCTTTTTTTTTTTAGACACCAGAATATATTTATTATCACTGGATCTAAATACTAAATTGATCTGACAGCTGAAACAATGAACTTTAGTTGCTAGCCCAACTTATCCTCAAACAACAAACAGCAATCTCAAATGCCTTAAACTGTACAGTACCTGAAGATAAAAACATCTAGCCCATTTTTTTCTCAGCATAACAATAAAATTAAATGTAAACCATACTAATAAATGCTAAACATTATTGTTGTTGCTGCTGTTATAGATTAATTCTAGGTTCATTCTAGAAAAATTCCTAACTTTTCTATAACAGAAAACAGCGGAAAGTGCTCAATTTGGAGTCCAAGGGCTCTGATTCAAATACTGGTTCTGTCTCTTACTAATGTATTCTTAGGTCAACCACTTCAGCATCTATGGGCCTCACTTTTCCATACCTTTAAAATTAAGGAATTGGACTAAATGATCTCTAAGGTCCCTCTGGGCTCTAAAATATTTGTGATACTCTAAGTGTTTACACTAAACTTTTAAAAGGAATTAACTTTCCTTCATTGGAAGATCAAACATTTCTGAACAGCTCTGGCTACTTGCTATTCCTTTTGTAACAGAACTCTAAGAAGTCACTGGCACCCTGGAATTTGTAGTTCAGACAGACAAACATCCCTCAGCCAACCTGAGGGGAACTTGGGATCTTTTCTGTTCTTTGAGCAGGGAGGTGGAACTGAGTAATGCCAGACAGTCTTTAAGAGGAAGACTGACAGATATAATGAGGACCTCAAGAGCAAAGCCAGAAAGAATGGATGCCATAGTGAAAATCAGAAAAAGGAAAAGAAGGGGTAAGCTGAGGCAGAAAAAGGGGAGATGAGGGAGGGCCACAGGCTCAAGAGGTGTTTCCTGGAATTTTGGAGCAGAAAATATAGGCTGAAGCTATCAGTTGTACCCACCACTGTAAGGACTGAGGGGACTTCCTCAATAAGATCTGTTTTTTCCCAACTTCCCTCCTGGTGTCTGTTCATTAACAGACAAGGTAAACATACTTTACTAGGCCATTTATCCCAACACTTCTGGCAACCTGAATTTCTGCCTCAATAATAAAGAGGCTAAGAATTTGCTAGAGATTAACATAAATGCATATTAGGGCAAAGAACCAACAAATGTATGGAATTTTCCTAGCTATATTGTGAGCTGTGATATTTCCTAGCTATATTGTGATTCTGCTACCAACTTTTCATTTAATATAAATTCCCTGAGGCAGCAGAGATAACCATATGGATCTGAGGAGCCATCGTATTTCCACTAGCCTAAAAAATTGAGCTAATTTTTTTAACAGTATGATTGATTTAAATCTCCAGAGGAAAAAGGGGGTAGAGAGGAGGGGGCAATGACAAGTATTAGGAGGTTAACTGCATCCTCCACAAGCAAAACCCACAAACACCACAGTTATACTTGCTACTCTTTTTATATGGCAGACCTAATCCTTGGGTTCAAATTCCTAAATGTATGCATGCTCTTAAACTTATCTTTATTCCCAACCCCCAACATCATCTACAACCAATACAGGCTTCAGCAAGGAAAACTCAATGCAACTCTAGAAACCAATAACACCACTCGGCCAGCCAGAAAGAGAAATAAAGAACTTGCATTCCATTCTCAATTCTAACCCTATCCCATCCAAAATTTAGATTATATCCACCTATGAAAAGAGAAGGCAACAGTAGTTTCAAAGACAGTGAGAGGAATCTAACCAGAAGCAGCATTTTTTTTCCTTGGGTATAATTTCCTTCTTACGATTATTCCCTCTCTCTATTTTGCCAACCTTTTGCCTTTCCTGACTTTTCCACTTTACTTTCTCACAGTCATTCATACTGCCTTCTGCACCCATAGTTGAATGCAAAGCAGAGGGAAAAGGAAATCAGAAATAATTTAGCCCAATATCTTTTAGCATTCTCTTCTAATAGAATGTGAGTTCTTCGAAGCCAAGAACTGTTTCATTTTTTTTTTCCTTTGAATTCTCAGCATCTAGCATAGTGTCTGGTCCGTAGTAGGTGCTTAATAGACATACCGGTGCCCATCCTGGGGTTTTGGAGTCCTAACTGGTGAGACTTCTCTATATATAACCTAATTCCTCTTTCTCTATGCCTTACAATTCCTAACTCTGTTCTTCATCAAGACCTTCATTTTCTCCACCCCTCAGTTCTTTCCACCAATTGCACCAACTAAATTGTTTTTCCCTCCCTATATCTAACCCTTAGTGAACCAACTCAACTCCATGCAATCCTCCACCCCAGATTCCCTTGCTACCTTGTCCTATCAACAATCTTACTCCATTCCTTCCTGGATTACTCCCATCATCTGTATCCTTATCTGCTATTTACATACTGGTCACTACAGCTGGAGAAAATTACGAACTTCTGCTAACTAAATTTAGGCAAATTTATGTTCTCTAAGTTCAACTCAAACCTTAATTCAGCTAGACAAAAATTATATTCCTCCCTAATCAATTACCTATATCACTCTCCACAGTAGTTATGCCAACCCTTCTCATCACTCCTCAAGTTTCGGACCCGAACCTCCCTCACCATTATCTAAAACAGAGACTTCACACCTCATACTTCATTAAAAAAACTGACACCATTCAACAAAGTTTCCATCTTTTCCCATTTTTTCTCATTTCATATCACTCAGACATCTTCTTTACAATCTCCGGTCATACTAGTTTCAGATGAAGAGTAGTTCCTTCTTATAAAGGCAAAACCCTCTATATGCACCCTTCACTGTCCTTACTATCCTGCCCACTCTCACTATAATCTTCAATTTCCAGATTATCTACTAGCTCTTTCCCTAGTACCTAAATTCCCACGTCTCCCCCAACTGGGGTTAAGTGACTTGCCCAGGGTCACACAGCTAGTACGTGATGTGTGTCTGAGACCAGATTTGAACTCGGGTCCTCCTGACTTCAAGGCCAGAACTCTATCCACTGCACCACCTAGCTGCCCCCCAATAATCTCTTAATTCCTAAATCAAATGGCCTTTTGTCAATCCTGATTCTCCTTGATCTCTCTGCAGCCCTCAACACTGTCAATCACCTTCTCCTGCTGAACACTACCCTACTTCTCCTCCTATCTGTTCAATTACTCCTGTCTCCTTTGCTGATTATTCACCCAGATCACATCCATTAATAGTGCATCTCTGCTGTATATTTTGAATCCTCTTATATTCTGCTGTGTATATAGCAATTTTTTTATTATTTTGTATTTAACTTTTAATATTTAAGTTCATAATGTTTCTTTTTTCTTATTGTGTATTTGAGTTTAAAATAAATTAACTTTTCAAAAAAAATAGTGCACCTCCCCAAAGTTTTATCCTCATCCCCCATCTCTTTTCATTCTACAGTATTTCACTTGGTGATTTCATCAGCTCCCATTAACTCAATTATCATTTTGGGGTGGATGATTCCAAGATAAATTAAGCCCTAGTTTCTCTGCTGAGCTACAGTCACACCTCTCCAACTGTCTCTGGATATATCAAACTTTATATCCTGTAGGTATCTCAAACTGAACATGTTCAAAAGAGAGCTCATTATCTTTCTCCTCGAGCATCCCCTCCTGAACTTATCACTGTTGAAGGTACCCCATCCTCTCAGTCATCCAGGCTGGCAACTTCAACGTCACCTTCAACTCCTCATTCATATTTAATCAAAGTATCGAAGACATTGCCAAATGCTGTAATTGCAGTTTCCACAACATCTCTTGTATCTGGTCCCCTATCTCCACTCACACAGCTAAACATAGTGCAAGTCCTCATAACTTCTCATTGGGACTACTACTACAGCCTTCTACCTGGTCTGTCTCAAAGCTCTCCCCATTCGAATCCATCCTCCACTCAATTGCCAAGGTGATTTTTCTTCTCTTTTTTCTTTTTTTTTCAATTACCAAGCATTTTTTTTCTCTGTCTCTCCTTTCCCAATGAGGAAAAAAAAGAAAATAAAAAACCCTTATAACAAATAAGCATAGTTAAACTGGCCATGTCCACAAATGTGTCTCATCCTGCATATTAGTCCTATTACTTCTTCTTAATGAGATAGATGGTCAGTTTTCTTCATCATCAGTCCTAATGAATCATGACTGACCACTGCATTGATCACACTGCTTAAGTCTTTCAAAATCGTTGCTTTTTACAATACTGACATTATAGTATAAATTGCTCTTCTGGTTTTGGCTCACTTCACTCTCCGTCAGTCCATACAAATCTTCCCTGGTTTCTCTGAAAGAATTCCTTTCTTAATTTCTTTTAACAATATTATTCCAGGGGCAGCTAGATGGTGCAGTGGATTGAGCACCGCCCCTGAAGTCAGGAGGACCTGAGTTCAAATCCGGACTCAGACCAAATACTTGGCACTTACTAGCTGTGTGACCCTGGGGCAAGTCACTTGACCCCAACTGCCTTGAAAAAAAAAATAAATAAAAAAAAATATATTATTCCATCACCTTCATATATCATAATTTGGTCAGCCATTCACCAACTGATGGGTATCCCCTTAGCTTCCAGATTTTTGCCACAACAATAAGAACTGCTATAAACATCATTGTACATACAGGACCTTTTTCCCCTCTCCTGGAACTCTTTGAGGTAGTAATGATATCCCTGGGTCAAAGAATACGCACACTTTAGGAACCTCAGATTTGCTTTAATTTGCATTTTTCTAATTATCAATGATTTGGAACATTTTTCATATGACATGATGGCTTGGATGCCTTTCCTTAAGGACTGCCTATTTGTATCCTTTGACCATTTATCAATTGGCGAATGGATCTTATTTTCATAAATTTGAATCTGCTCCATATGTATCTTGGCAATGCGGCTTTTATCAGAAAAACATGCTGCAACTGTTTCCCTTCTAATCTTAGCTGCATGGGATTTGTTTGTGCAAAGCCTTTTAAAATTTCATATACTCAAAATTGTACATTTTTCTTGTCTCACCCTCTCTGTTTTTTTGGTCTTGAACACTTTCCCATTCTATAGATTTGAAAAGTGATTTCTTCCTTGTTCTTCTAATTTGTCTATGATGGATCTTTTCTATTTAGGTCTGGGCATGAAAGCTTATTTTGGTATGTGGTCTGAACCTAATTTGTTCTTATCTTTGAAGAAAGGAATTGTTTTGGGTTTCTTTTTTGTATTTATCCCAGGCACTTAGGCCAAGGCCTGGTACAAAATGATAAACGCTTTCATTCATTCATTCATTCATTCACTTTTAATTTAAAAAGCATGTTTTCTACCCTACATTTCCTGAAACAGAAGCTCTTTGAAAGCAACAATTACACATATGCACACAATACATAAGACAGTCACTGACTCCTCAAATTATGGTGCCTTTATAACAACAAATACACAATATCTACTGGGTGAAAAAAAAAAGAAAATTTTTAAAATACCAGCCAAAGAAACTGCAAATACTTAAGGGAAGCATGTAAGATCCTCTTCTAACCTAAAAGTCAGTTTCTGATTTTTAGGCATCTTACCTTTTCCACATCAGCCTTAGTTGCATTGGTGTCGTTGTCCAATCTTTCATAGCTCTGCTGAGCTTTTTCTGCCTCTCTGCACTCCCTCTCAAACTTCTTTTTACTCTGCAGATAATGTGAAAGTATGACATTGGACATAAAATTAAATTAACTCATTTATTAAGCAATTATTTTGTATGTTAAAATCAGTGCACTTGTCTTAAATGTTAGACACTGCAAAAGGCAGCTTCTGAAGATAAAGGCCACCTTTGTATCTGATTGGATGTTTGCTTCCATTACAGCAGGGGTTTGTAACCTTTCTTATGTCAATGGGTTCCTTTTGGCAATCTGGTAAAAGCCTACGGACTCCTCAGAATAATGCTTTGAAAAGCACAAAATGCAATACATAGGATTATAAAACCAAGTACGTTGAAATATGAGTTATTTTTTAAAAAAGACATCAAGTTACACAAACACCAAGTTAAGAACCCCCGCTCTACAGGGACTTTATTTACATTGTTGTTATCATTTTATCTACTGTCCTTTTACTCTACTTTAGTCTCTCTGTATTGTGTATAAGCCTTCTCCCATTTCTATGAATTTTTCCTGGAATTCCTTGTGTCACGTAATTTCCATTATAGTTATATCTTGGTCACTGGACACATATTTTGCTTTCAGCTGTTTAAATTTTTGTCCACAATTAATGCTGCTATGAGCACTTCTGAACACTTTTTTCAGTCAATAACCTTCTTGAAACGGGGTTTTTAAGTAAATAGATCTACATTTCCCCTTCTCCCAACAATAAAACCAGAACATTCAGTTCTAGATTTTTTTTTTTAGCAAGTCATTTGGGATTAAGTGACTTGCCCAGAGTCACACAGCTAGTAAGTGTTATATGTCTGAGAATGGATTTGAACTCGGGTCCTCCTGACTCCAGGGCCGGTGCTCTGTCCACTGCACCGCCGAGCTGCCCCTTGGTTCTAGATTTTTGATGAATATAAGGAAATTGAAAGTTTTGGTTTTAGGAATGCACTGGTATAAACAGGAGGAGAATAAAAGGAAAATGAAGAAGAGACGGAAGAATAATGGACAGACACTCTCTAAGGATACAGGCCTATTCACAGAATCACAGGCTCAGAGAAAGAAGGGACCTCGACAGTCATCTAGTCCAACCCGTGGAAAAAAGGAGTCCATGCTAATTCAGGTCAGACAGCCTCCGTTTTAATACCTCCGATGTGGGGGAGCCCACCACTTCTTGAAGCAGCTGTTTCATTTTTCATCAGCTCTAAGTATTAGGAAGTTTTCCTCACTCAAGAACACATTTCCACTTTGCAACTTCGGTCTCTGGGGCCAAATAAAGCACATTCAATCCTTCTTCCATGGGATAGTCCTTCAAAATCTTGAAAGACTGTTCTCCTCTTCTCTCTGAATCTCTCTTCCAGGCTCATGACCAATTCCTCCATCCGATCTTCATGCAAGGAATCAAGAGCTTTCACCATCATAGTTACCTTTATCTGGACATGCTCCAGATCGTCAATGCCCTTCTTAAACTGTGGTGCCCAGAATGAAATACGACATTCCAAATGAGGCATAAGGAAAACAGTGGAAATATTACCTTTCTTGTTTTGGATACTACATTTCTTTTAATGAAGCCCAAGATTGCATCAGCTTTTTTGGCTGCTACATCACAATGCTGACTCAAACTGAATAAGCACTGTAATCCATTGAAACCCCCAGACCTTTTTCTTAACAATCACTGTCTATCTAAGACCCCTTCATCTTATATTTTTTAACTTGATTTTTTATATCTAAGAGCAAGACTTCACATTTATTGCTATTAAATTTTATCTGGTTAGATTTGCTCTTGACTGTCAAGATCATTTTGGATCTGGACTCTGACAACCACTGTGTTAGTTATTTCTTCCTGCTTTGTGTCATCTGTAAATTTGATGAGCGTATCTATGCCTTTATCCAAGTCACTGAGGAAAACATTAAACAGAACAGGGCAAGCACAGATCCCTGAAGTATTCCATTAGTGACCTCATGCCACATTAGAGAGATGAAGAATTTACTGTTTAACATATACACACCAGTGGCCAGCCAGCATAGTGGCAGGGCAGCTGATAAAGCCTGATGATCCTGGCCCTTCATTTTACTGGAAGTAGAGTGAGTGGCCACATCCACTTCAAACTAAGAAACTAGGAGGGCTGAGACTCACAGAAACTTGGGACAGGGAAAAAGGGACTATGGGTCAGGAGTAGAATGGGGGCTTCTGGTTCCCCTATTTCAATGTTGGTTTTTTTGGCCCTAGTATTTGGCACACAGGTACTTCATAAGTGTTTTAAGAATGAATAATTTAACATTATATTAAATTTGACTCATTTATAGGTGGCACAAAATAGTTTTTCTCCCCAAGTTAGACTAGTTAGACTAGACCTGTGATTTCAGGGTAGGGAGCTCCCCGTGAAGAGCTCAGCGATCAACACAGATCACCACATTTTTTGCAGTTTGTCTCAGAGAATTGTCTGAGGAACTGAAAAATAAAGTGACTGAGGGTTATGCAACCAATATCTATCAGAGGCAGACCTTGAACCTAGGGGCTTTTTTACTCTGAAATCAACAGCTGACTACTCTGCCTCTTCAACTTTTATCTTCAGAATTTCTAGTAGTCACTGTAGAGGAAACAAGAACTCTCTCCAAAGTTTAAGGTGGTCAAAACATTATTATTTTGAGCATCCATACATAATATAAGCTGCAGACCTCAAAAGGTGAAAATTTCCAGTAAAAACAAAACAACCATAACCACAACTAAATATTCTGTTTATTATTTTATAAGCTATTACATAATAAATCTAATATATATTTTCAATAATTACACTTACACATTAAACTCAGAAAGATGCAGAATACATAATACATGTGAGGATCAAAAGAGTCTAACAAAACTATACATTAATCATGTGCATATTAAAACTCACATTATCCATCTGTTTCCAGCACATGTCAAGATATTGCTGAGCTTTTCGTCCTTCTTGGAGATGCTAAAAAGTGCAAAAGAACAGAAAATGAAATTATATTTAAAAACTAAATAAAAATTTTCTACATAATGTTTATATAACTTTTTAAAAGCTTTGTTAATTAACGAATTCTATCAAGACATGGAAAGAGATTGCTATTCAAGTGACACCTCTTGTTACAGAAAATAATTTTGAAGTTATCAATTGGCATAATCTCATAAAATGGATTAGTACTTGAAACTAAAAAGGACTGTATAAATTAGGCAAATAAAATTCTCTTAATGATATTAAGCCATTAAAAATTCTAGGATAAGAAAATCATTCTATGCTAAAAATATATTGAAATTAAGTAAGCTAGTGATTTTCCTCAATTACAATATTTTGAATATTATACATGGATATAAATATGGTTATTACCATTTTTCTTTCTGTTTTCAGATCATGGGAATATCTCATTAATTCACCATATACTCTGTGTCCCATTTCTTCTGCTACTACTTCTCGTTGTCCAGCATAGTCATTTAACTCATTAAGAATGTTAAAAAAGGCTATACAGGAGGTAAACCTGTCAAAAACAAATATAAAAGGATAGAGTAGATTTTTACATTCATTGAGGATATCTCTAGTGAAGTATAAACAGGATTTGGGGTGATGACAAATGTTAATATTTTCAGCTTAATTACAGTTAAACTCTTATGAACTCCAAATGAGAAGATCCTACTCTAGCTCTTTAAACAGACACATACTTCCATACCTTTTGAATTTAATTTACGAGTAAAATGATATTTGGCATGGAAAAGAAAGAAAAATACTACCTGCAGACCCTTTCAGCATACTGGTAATTGCTTTAGATGTCGAATTACTGGCCTGACCTTGGGAATGAACTTGGGTTCCTAGGCTTGGAAGCTGAACTTGTTGCAGAGATGATGTGCTTGCGCCAGTGTGGAACCTGCCAATCATACCACTCAAGTGCATCCCGATGGGTGATTTACAGGACAACTTTTGTATCAGCTCTGGACACAGCTGCCTGTTTGCCTACCCACCTCCTGAAGGGAAGTAAGGTGCCATTATGGTTGGCACTAAAAAGGGGGACAAAGGGGGCAAAAATAAGGGTAAAGAATGTGTGTGGAGGGAAGGAGAGAAACAGAGAGTCGCCATATTAAAATATATAGATCTACTCTTTATATTTTGATTACCTTTTATTAATTGTGAAATACTGCCAATATGGTGGTCTGATAGTTCAGAAATTCATTACAAATCTAAGAATCCTGACTTCTAATGTCAGATAGTGCCAATATTAATACATACACATATATATATAGGCACGTGTGTGTGTGTGTGTGTGTGTGTGAGAAAAGCTTTTGTGGTCTATTTTTTTTCCTTTCTCCTTAAGGGATTTCTAGATTACATACATTTCACTTACGCATCTGGATTACAATTATATATGTATTTGTCTATTGTATGTCTCAGTTACTTGTGCATAAGACTATTCTATCTCCTCCAAGTGCCTAGAACACTGCACTGAAAATAATAAGCACCAAGTTTGCTATGCAAAATTACCATGACAAAAAGCCAAAACTGGACTTCTAGTTTCTCTTATTCTGTTGAGGAAATTATAATTACTCTGAAAAGCTGTTTTCCTTTTCTGCTATTTAGTTAACAGAATATTTTTTCCACCAAAAAGAATAAAGCAAAAACCACTACAAAATAAGGTGTGAAAAAGTGCTGCTGCAATCTAGCCAAATTTTCCTCTGAAGATTGTGACACGTGTACAAATACAGACACATGGTCTATATTTCACTTGACAATTTTCATTTAGACTATTTCAGAAAGCAGTTCATCAAGCCCATTTAAAGAGATGTTTATAAGAAGGGACCAGAGGCTCCTTTTCACATAATTATTATATGAATTTCTTAACACAAAATTATCTTATTGAAAGTTCTTGGTAAAAATACAAAAATAAATTTTGAAACACTGTTCTAAAGTATAATGTAAAGTTACCATAAACAAAAGGCAAAAGACAAATCATTTCAAATTATTTTTAAAAATAGCTTATCTTTCCTATAATTAAGAAAATCTTATTCATTCTTTAGTAAACATCATGAAGTAATACCCCTTTATATCTAGCCCAGCTTTTAAGGTATTATTCATACTAGATGAGTATCTTTTTACAACTGATTCAAGATTAACTAGTTTACTGATAATATCAAAGGTTCTACATCATCATGATTAAAAGAACTGGCAATCTTTAAAAAGCAGCTTCTTAATAAATACTTTTGCCAGAGTTAGTTATATAATTGCATAATGACATCACGTTGTTAGGTAAGTAAATAAACGTTTTATAAATAGATACAAAAAGTGTGTGTACTTTACCTAGGCTCTTCATCTTTGGATGAACGCTTAGGGCAATATTTCTTAACCAAATTCCTAAATGGAGGGAAAGATATAAAGGGAATTATACAAATGTTATTAATTGAATAAAAATACTATAAAGGTTTCCAATTCTCATACATATCATTAGATAGTTAAAAAAGCAGGAAGATAAAATGAAAATATTTCTTAGTGAAACAACACAAATAGCAAACCATTCCTATATCTCTAGTCTAAAGTACTCCCCTCATGGCACATACTATTCACTTCTGAATGGCATTAAAAAAAAATTTTTTTAATTCTTGGTCATGTTGGGATATAGGCACAGAAATTAAGGACACAAAAATTGGGGCAATTTTATAAGTCCATATATTTTAAAGAAATAATACCATCTTTGGCAAATCAGTAATTTTTCACAGAAACCAAAGCTCAAATGTTTACAGACAGATGAGCTGATGTTTTCTCAAGAATAAAGATGAAAAGCATTTGAACACTATTCTTTGCAGCTACTACCCCTTAAACCTTTCCCTTTTTAAACTAAAGCATCTTAGTGTCAACAACTCACCAATCTAATTATTAAAACTTTCATGGGCTTCAACGACTTCCAAAATTTAGCATTCATACCGGGGCTTCAGTTTATTATTGCAGTAAAGTAATAATAAATCTGCTCATCTCTTAACTGCATCAAGCATCTTGACCCTTTCCTGCCATTCCCCACACCAAGACCATGTCACTCTCATTTCACTTTTTAAAAAAATAAATATGTTATTGATGCTTTAAAACAATTAATGTCAGGGGCACCCAGGTGGCACAGTGGATAGAGCTCCAGCCTTGGAGTCAGGACGATCTGAGTTCAAAACTGACCTCAGACACTTGACACTTAATAGCTGTGTGATGCTGGGCAAGTTACCTAACCTCGATTGCCTCGCCAAAAAAAAAATTAATGTCACTACTCAATAAAACTGCTATGACGGCATTTGATACTGATCAAGGATCACTTTTTTGATTCTGTTAATGCTGGCAGGTACCACCTTGATAAAGGAAATGTCAACATAACCAAAAAACAAACAAACAAACAAACAAACTGTAATCCTAAACTCCATTGTAAAATGTCTGGAACTTACAATCCATTTTCGCTGCAGAGATCATGGTTTTATACAGACACATACACACACATATGTGCATACACACATGATGGTCAGGGTTTCAATGTTAATCCACAAAAGCCTATTTAACCCAAAATGCAAGTAAACTATATCACACTAGCCATAAGAGAAATTTTCTCCCCTTTCCACAGTGAGCGAGCCAAGGCAAAACTTTGATGCAGGCCAACTTTATATATGGCACCCTCCATTATTTTTATGTTGTCTTCTCCAGTATCCTTTATCCCTAGTATCCCATCAATAGGGCCCTCAATTCTAAGTCTCTCCTCCACTCCAGTGAAACACCTCAACCAGGCCTTTATTACTCCTGGAAATGTTTCACATGTCAGTATTTTCCACCTCCCTTCTCCTTCAATATTTACCTTAATTCCTTTTAGTGTAGATGATCTAACTAGACATTAGGAGGAAAATATGATATTGAAATGATCTGAATTAAAAATGAATCACTAAGTCACAGAATCTTAGACCAGAAAGGAACTTTAGAGATCATTTTATCCAATCTCTCACTCATGGAGAAACCTCTTCAGCAACATACCTGAGAGGTATGTCAAGTCAAGTCTTTGCTTGAATACTTCTATGACCAGAAAGTCACTAACTCAAACGGAAATCCATTTCACTATTTAATAAGTCTAACGTTCTAGGGCAAATTTAACATTCTTCTTTATATGGAAGGAAAGTCTTTGGAATTATACAGAAGAAATGTAATCCCTCCTACTTTTTATCATTCTTAAAATATCTTCAGATAGCTATTAAATATTTCACCCACCTAGTCTTCTCTTTTCCAGGTTCTTCCAGTAGTTTCTTCAATTTTCATTACATATCATTTCCAGATACACTGGAATTCTGCAGATTTTCTACTAGCAATTGTCCTGTTACAGGCATATTCACTCTTTCCCTACTGTCTAGCTTCTACAAATATTCTAATCAGTTCTTCCCAATTCTAAAATATAAAAAATTATTCGATTGGCCCTTCTATCTCAATCAATTATCTTCACCTATCTTTTATGTGTAAAATTTCTGAAAGTTACTCATACACATCACAATACCTCCTTTCCCTCATTAAATGGGACAGCTAGGTAGTGCAATGGATAGTTTTCTGGACCTGAAGTTAAGGAGATCTGAGTTCATATCCAGCTTCATACACTTACTAACTGTGTGACCACAGGCAAGTCATTTAACTGCTAGTTGCCTCAGTTTTCTCATCTGTAAAATAGGGGTAATAATAGTGCTTACCTCCCAGGGTTGTTGTAAAATAATAATTATAAAGCACTTAGCACAATCCTTGACACATATTAAGCACTACATAAATATTTAGCTATTATTATTATTAATTCTCATCTACAGACAGCCAGTAAGTGGGGTAGTGAATGGAATACAAGACTTAGGAATCAGGAAGATCTGAGTTCAAAACCTGCCTCAGACATTTACTAGGAATATAACTTTGGGCAAGTCACTTACCCTCTCAGCTTCAGTTTTCTCATATGTAAAATCAGGATAATAGCAACACCTATCTCATAGGGTGGTTATGAGGATCAAATGAGTTAACCAGTATACAAATGTTAGCTATTATTATTGAAACACTGCTTCTATCTCCACCATTGCATTGAAATTGTTCTCCAGAAAGGACTCAACAACTTAAAATATATTATATTCAGTGGCCTCTTTGTATCTTCATCTTCCTCAATCTTGCTACTACATTTGACATTGTTCATCATAACTCTTCTAAACACTACATCTTTCTGGTTCTGCTCTACCTCTCTCTAACTGATCCTTCTGTGTTTCTTCTTCTCAGATTCTTAAAGTAAGTATTTCTTTAATACTTTTCCCTACTTACACTTTTTTCCTTGGAAAATTTCATTCACCCATGTGGAATCAACTATTACCTCTACACAAATAAGTCCTAAATCTAAATCTCCAGGCTAGATCTAGCTAAAGCAGCAAACACCTTGTGGGTGTTTCACAGAACCTTGATCATAGCACCTTGGAAGAACTGAAAATTTACAGGTCCCTAGGAGTATCTCTGGAAACAGCTGCACAAAACCCCTGAAGCTTGGAACAGGACATTCTCCACACTGGAAACAGACTCCTAACTCAAGTAATTGGCTGAGATCATGAGCAAGCAGCACAAAAAGAGTCAGACTATATTATCTTACTTTGGTGACAAAGAAGATCAAAACATACAACCAGAAGAAGACAACGAAGCCAAAGCTCCTACATCCAAAGCCTCCAAGAAAAATATGAATTGGTCCCAGGCCTTGGAAGAGCTCAAAAGGGATTTTGAGAAGCAAGTAAGAGAAGTAAAGGAAAAACTGAGAGTGATGCTAAAGGAGACCCAAAAAAATACTTAAGAAAGTAACATAACCTTAAAACAGAGCCTAGCCCAAATGGCAAAAGAGGTCCAAAAAGCCAATGATAAGAATGCCCTAAAAAGCAAAATTGGCCAAATGGAAAAGGAAGTCCAAAAGCTTATTGAAGACAATACTTCCTTAAAAATTAGAATGGAGAAATTGGAAACTAGGGACAATTTGAGAAATCAAGGCACTGTAACACTAATCCAAAGGAATGAAAAAATAGAAGAGAATGTGAAATATCTCATTGGAAAAACAACTAACCTGGAAAATAGATCCAGGAGAGAGAATTTAAAAATTATTGGACTATCTGAAAGCCATGATCAAAAAAAGAGCCTAGACATCATCTTTCAAGAATCGATCAAGGAAAACTGCCCTGATATTTTAGAACCAGAGGGCAAAATAGAAATTGAAAGAATCCATTAATCACATCCTGAAAGAGATCCCCAAAGGAAAACTCCTAGGAATGTTGTAGCCAAATTCTAGAATTCCCAGGTCAAAGAGAAGATATTGCAAGCAGCCAGAAGGAAAGAATTCAAGTATTGTGGAAACACAATCAGGTTAACACAAGATTTAACAGCTTCTACATTAAGGGTCCGGAGGGCATGGAGTATGATATTCCAGAGGGCAAAGGAGTTAGGACTACAACCTAGAATCACCTACCCAGCAAAACTTAGTATAATCCTTCAGGATAAAAAATGGTCATTCAATGAAATAGGAGACTTTCAAACATTCCTGTGGGAAAGACCAGAGCTGAACAGAAAATCTGACCTTCAAATACAAGACTGAAGTGAAACATGGAAGAGGTAAACAGGAAAGAGAAATCATAAGAGACTTATGAAAGTTCAACTGTTTACATTCCTGCAGGGAAAGATGATATTTGTAACTCATGAGTCCTTTGTCAGTACTAGGATAGTGAGAGGGAAAAAAATTATATGTATGTATAGATAGTCAGATAGATAGATAGAGGGCACAGGGTGAGTTGAAGATGAAGGGGTGCTATATGGAAAATAAAATTAAGGGGTGAGAGAGGATTATACTGGGAGAAGGAGAAAAGGAGAAGTAGAATGAGGTAAAATATCTCACGTGAAACAGACAAGGAAAGGCTCTTACAATGGGGGGCAAATGGGGGAAGGTGAGAGGAAGTGAGTGAATCTTATTCTCATAGGATTTGGCTTAAGGAGAGAATAACATACACAATGGGGTATGGAAATCTATCTTACCCTACAGGAAAATAAGGGGGGAAGGGGACAGGAGAGCAGAGGGTCGATAGAGGGGAGGGCAGATTGGGGGAGGGGATAATCAAAAGCAAACACTTCAAGAGAGAATAGAATAAACAGGGGGTAGGATAGGATGAAGGGAAACATACTTAGTTTTTCACAACAGGACTACTATGGAAGTGTTTTGCATGACTACACATCTATAATCTGTAGTGAGACGCTTGCCTTTTCAATGAGGGTGGGTGTGGAGGGAGGAAGGGAGAAAATTTGTAACCCAAAGTTTTAAAAACACATGTTAAAATAAAAAAATTAAAAACTAAAAGAGA